TCACCTGAGAATTGGTGCAGTTTTGGGACAGGAAGGCAGACCAGTTATTTGTGTTTCACGCATACTCACTGTTACTGAACAAGGTTATTCACAGACTCAGTGAGAAGCATTAACTGTGTCTCGGGCTGTTAAAAGACTTCATAAATATTTATTCGGAAATTCACTATTGTTACAGAACATGAAGCTTTAAAGTTTATTTATCATCCTGAAAAATCCTTGGCACGTTCTTCAGCTGCTATGGTTCAACGATGGAGTATTGCTTTGAGTGCATATGACTATACGGTTCAGCACAGAAGGGCCAAACAAATTCAACACGTTGACTACATTTTTCGACAGTCATTACAAGATCGACCTGTTAATACTTCGGACTGTTTGTTAGTGCAACCTTTACCAGTGAGACGTCCAGATCTCATTAGAGAAACTCGCAGATATTTTGGATGTATACTCAGTGTTATAAGAAAAGGCTGGACTGCTAATTTGAAACGTAGATTTCCTATCTATTTTTCAAAGAGGGATGAGCCATCTACTACTTTTGATGGTATTCTGTGTTTAAATGATCGTGTTGTCATTCCTCCTTTATTGCGTAAATCTGTTCTTGAAGATCTTCATAGTGGTCATTTAGGTGTTGAGAAAATGAAGTCCTTGGCAAGGCTCACACGTTGGTGGCCAGAGATAAATGCAGATATATGTCGTACAGCAAACAATTAAGAGAAATGTCATCAGTTGAAAAATCATCCTTCGGAGTGGACGCCATGGCCAGTATCGTCTGAGGCCTGGCAGAGAATTCATGCTGACTATTGTGGTCCGTTTCTTGGTAAATACTATGCACTAGTAGTTATTGATTCTTTTTCAAAATGGCCTGAAGTTTTTTTTACAACTTCACCTAATTCTGACTTCACAATCCAAGCATTAAGAAAGGCGTTTAGTCGATAAGGAGTTCCTATGGTGTTAGTGACTGATAATGGCTCTCACTTTGCTGCAGATGCAGTCACTACTTGCTTGAACGGTATAGAGTGCAAACATCTGTTTACTGCTCCCAGAAATCCGTGTTCTAATGGTCAGACAGAGAATTTTGTCAGGACATTAAAGACTGCTATTGATTCTACAGCCGCCTCAACATTTAATGAGCTGGAGAGGGGAGTAGATACCTTTCCATTGTAATATAGAAATGCCAGACATTCGGTGACGAAGGATACTCCAGCGAAGCTATTGAAATGAAGAATTCTTCAGTCGAATATGAGATGTTTGAAGTCTGCAGAAGTTACATACTATCGGGGAAATGATCTTCGACCATCTACGGGTATTGTTTTGAAGAATGTCGGAAAATCGGTGGTGCGAATTCTAGACATCGACATGTTGATCAAATACAATTCCAGGAATCAGGTGAGTCTGTTCCATTTTCGGTTGTTAATTCTAATGCCGATGAGCACATTCTAGATAATACAGAATCCCTTTCGAATATAATGGCAGACAGACTCAAGATGAATTTGAGAAGAAGATGTACGATTGATTACAAACACCTAGACTCCAATTTAAGCTGTGGCGGATGTGGTGTTTGAACGAATTAATGATACTATTGTACTAGTAGATTGTACGATTTCGAATTCCAAATACAGTACATTCGGTTGTGCCTGTGTCTTCTTAATTCAATTGCGTTATTTCTTGGACTCTTAGTTCGTGCTATAATTCAAATAATTCGAAACACTATACCCATTACTCTCCACTGACATTTTTAATAAATTTAAGGAAAATACTTCAGAAAAATCAGATCGTGATGTTCTATCAAATGTTATTTGTCCTCATAATTTATTTGGCTCTTGTGGGAAAGTTGTTCAATGCGATGCATGAGTCTTTAACGAGCTCGATTTTGATTACAATTCGAATTTTTTCATATCAACTGTTGTTTATACTTATCATGAAGTCACTGTAAATGAATACTCTAGGCAATGTAGTAAATATGTTGTAAATGAAGCCACATTATTTATATGGATATGAAGGTCCAACATATTCTAGATATCACTGGTTTCAGTACACAACCAAAATGGTGATTGTATGTAATTCCACGATCAAGGTTTGTCCGTTCCGACTTCAACTGTTAATTCTGATACTAATGAGTACATTCTAGATCATAAATTGTCCATATCTAATACAGGGTCGGACAGACACGATGAACCTAAGTAGAAGAGACAAACGATTGCAGAAATTTGGATTCTCATTTAAGCTGTGGCAGATGTGGTTTTTGGATGAATTAATGGTCCTTTTATACTTGATGACTGCCTGATTTCGAATTTCAAAAATAATACGATCATTCGTGCTCCTCTAATACGTCTTGATTAAATTGCATTATTTCTAGGATTCTCAGTTCGTACTGTAATTCAAATACTTCAAACTATCACAGTTTTCATTGCTAGTATTGCTCAATAATACAGTAAAAACTTTGAGTTGGCTCACTTTTGTCATTCGCGATCCTTAGAACCATCTCTCTCAAAGAAAGATGTAAAAGCAGTGATTGTATTAGGCTATTTCACTCAGTGCTTCGTCAAAATGCATTTGTCTGGCATCTATATTTTCCAAGGAAACAGACGGATATTGGACTTTAACTTGTGGAAACGTGAACGACAACCATGAATGCAGTGCATTGGCCTATCACTATAGTTCATAGATGTGAAAACCAACGAAGTCAGAGTTTTAACCCCTCAAACCTATGCTAATTTCAGACACTGCTGCATTTAACTTGATGTGTTGCGTACAGTGCCCATTTTGAAAGCGTCTGATCCACAGGACGTGTTCAATATGGGGCACGAAACATTATAATAGTATAATATAAATATATATGTACTGATAAATATTTAATCCTGAATTGTGAATTCCTCATTACTGTTTGCGGACCATCTATGCTAGGTCTAGAAAATTTAGGAATGCATCAGGGACAGCTTTCCTTATTAACCACTGATAACGGTACTAATGAAGTGCTTCATAACTTGCCAACTATGGAATCAAAATGCGAAGAATTACGCTTGACTGTGTGCAAGAAGAAATTTCAGTACCTTGAAAATAAAGGTCACTTATGACACTGCTGAGAAATTCAAAAAGCTGGAGAGGAAAGCAGATAAAGTCCCCCAGTGCAGAATCTCCTGATCGTCCACAGAAGAAACAGTGGTGAAATTGTCTGAACAAAAACTCTGTAAAACAACTTTTTTCTATAGTGTATGGAAGGTCTACTAAAACAGGTCATAGCAACCGAATGCGTTACAAGAAACAAGGTGAGGCCGTTCCAATTTTCGTTGGTGATTCTAAAACTGATTACATTCTAGATCCATAACCAATACATAGTCGGACAGACACATGATGAAGGCAAGGAAAAGCCCAACTGACTACAGAGATTTGGATTTGGATTTAAGCTGTGGCGGATGTGGTATTTTTACTAACTGATGATTCGTTTGTAGTTAATTGTCCACTGAATACGAATACGAAACATGATACGTTCATTTGTGCTCATCCAGTTCTACATGTCTTAAAATGAAGCATTTCTTGAATTCTTAGTACACTAATTCAAATATCCCTAATTAACATAGGTGCATAACAGTGGATAAAATTTGTTGAAATCCCTTTCTTCGTTCTAGAGATTGAGAATTTTATGATTCGTGATGTGGGGATTCCCTATCTATTGTGTACTTTTTGAATATCTCATTTGAGTTTTTATTTGTAATGGAGGTGAGTGAATCCTCAAAATAAGTTGTTCCGCATGTTTTCGAAATTGGTGCTGTATATAGCAGCTGGAAGCGGTCGGTCGTGCATCCGCACTAGATCACTATTAGGTACGCTGTGATACTCACCCTTCTCAATATCTCGTGGATATAGGTCAGGGAATTTTCATGTTATTGAATACCATCCCAATATATGTAATTGATCTACCACAGTCCTGACTTTCTGTTTTCCAATTATAAAAGTTCTAAAAACAGAGCCGTTATTGAGTCCTGAATGCAAATGACATTTTTATGCTTGAACAAATAATCGATGTTTGATAACCAACTTGTAATCTCTAAGTTGTTCATTTCAACGAGTCTAATTTGACTGGGTAACTAGTCGAAATTCACTAAACACTTCTCTTATTAAACAATCAATATATTTTTCCTTTAGTCAGATAATAAATATTATGGCAGTCCGCAAAGTAATAAATATAGTAATCAGTGAAGCGGAACCACGGAGATCGTTTTCTACCTAATGAAGAGGATCATACACATCACAAAACCATACTGTATCACAATCGTGTTATAATACCTAAACATTTGACTATTTCAGCAACACTGTATCAATTATCTGAAATCTACCGTTGGAACGACTCACTCTAATTAGGAATATGTGCACATCGAGATGTCACATATTCATTGTTGACCTGAAGGTACTTTTAAAATTCGTTTCTCTATTTGAGATTAGGTGGTTTAGGTGATGCCTATCTTGTGTTGAACGATTTCAAAATGATGAGAATATCTGATCTTACGATGACACGTAACATCACAGAGCTTTGAGTTTATAGAAAAACCGCATAATATATAGCCTCGTGAACCAGTTGTAAACCCTTGCTATGAAATGCGAAAAAAACCCATTTTCAAGTTAACTATACGTTTGATCTCGAAAACACAATTTAAACTGTAAGTTATCAAATAGGTTTCAGGGGTAAAAAATTGATTCTCATATCAAAGTAAGTCTGTCCTAACTTTATCCACACTCTGTAAGGCCAAGAGAAGTGAGTATACGATTGTAGTAAGGTACTGACCTTCCATTGGATACTGCATGCTATAGAGCTTTAGCCGTAAACTTTCAAGATCGCCCATACAAGGTCAGAAAAGTGAAATGAATTATTTCACTTCTCTGTCACGGAGATATTAGACAATTTGACAAGTTATTCACTGTGTTCGGAATTTTGACTGAAAATTTATAGTTTATATATGATTGGTCAAACTCTACTTGTTTTACCTATTCAATTTTCGCAACTCTTCAAGTAGTTTCTTTTCAAAAGGCTACAATATAATAAGCTTGATATGTTTGGTTTCTGTAAGTTGCACTTATATGTGTATTGTGTGACAAGCAGTATTTATTGATAATATCCTGTGTATAAAAAGTTAGGCGTTATTCTATAAATTCTTGTTGATAGTGTTGAGGTTGCGTTAATTTTCTTGTTCAGAACATTTTTTGGGTGCGAGTGTGTGGGATGTTTCGTACGTAAAAAAGAAATCAAATTTTGGAGTCCAGAGAGTCCTCTGTAGATCCCATTCAGCTTTTGGTTTGGCAAGTACGACTGAAAAAATAATATTATGAGTGTATTTGAGAAATCATTTTTGGTTCGGCATCACTTGTATTTGAACACGAACAATGATTCAAGTTTAAGGTGTTTCTAGCAAAGAGGACATCAAGTATCTGATATCCCGAGCTGGTACGTTTGTGGTAAAAGCGACCAATCTATAGTAAATTTCAGGACAATCCAGAATAAAGTTTCTGAAAATTTCGCAAAATACAAATACGGTTTTAAATATAAATTTTTATCTGTCCTAGATTCTTCGCAAAGTTCACTCAGGCTCTTTAGTTTTCCCGATTGACGAGTTGAGATAAAATTCTGACTTCGGGATACGTGTAAATTACAAAGTTGGAAACTGAATAGGTATTATTAAACCAATGTGGCTTGATTTGCAAACTGGGGGTCATTAGTTTTTGTTTTTTAAAAGTTCGGTTTGTAATCTAACATACTAAGAGTAAAATTTATAAATATAAGAAAAATGTAAGGACACAAAAGTAGTTTTACAGTATGTAAAGAAAGTTATAAAGTGCTACGACTTGAACAAACAGTTTATCCCTTAGTATATCAGATCTCGTCGAGGTTCACTAGTCCCGGTGATCTATGTGAGTGGTCGTTGTCTTTCCGGGTTGGATGGGAACGGTGTAACACAGCTTACGTCAAAATTATCTCGCAGCTAGTGCCTACTGTGGATTGTCCCCAAATGCCTTGGTACGGCTGAGGGTGAGGAGAGTCAGCTTTCCCTCTGGAAATGCTCTCATATGGCTGCGCGTATACAACCACTGCCTGGGAAGTCCCATTCACTAACTTCTCACGGTAAAGATGTAGTTTACGAAATTGAGAGGACGAAAAGCGAATGTCAGGCGCTTTAAGCCGGTTGGTGGACACGGAGGGTTCACTTAGGAGAGTGGGAAAACCCTGATTCCAAATCAATGGTGCGCATGGACTCCAGTATCCTGAGGGAACAAATGGCATATGAAGCAATTGTTGGTCACCGTGTACCATGGGACTGCATCTCCTTACGTTGCTGCACTACCTTGTGGATCAGAAAAACAGGTCGAGGACTCTGGGTATGGCCCCTCCAAGTACACTACCTGCTTCGGATTGGGCACCCGGACAGTATCCCAGCTTTCACACAAATGGAATAATTTATGTAGCATATATCTATTTGCTGCCTCCTTGTATCAATGTTTATGTGTTTAAATAAATAAAAAACGTTGATTACCTTTTCGTGATATCCAGATACTGCGGCTGCTTTGATAATTGTATAGAATAAACGTGAAGAAATGTATCAAGAAGAATAGATTGAAGGAACAAGCGGTCACCGCCTCATGGGTCAGTCCTTGGTGTAGAGTTGATCAGTATCCATTAGTCACTTTTAACCAGTGGTCTGTTGTCCAACGTAGAAATTGTTCAACCAAACGCTTGGTTTGTCTAGAACTCAGTTACGCTTCACTGTTTCTGTAAGGGGATCAGAAAAACGTGTCAGCATATTAGTTCCTTTCCGTTTAATCCGTGTTATCATATCCTCTGTTAATATGGAAAACTCTCCTTGAATGTCATATTCTAAGTGCAGTCTAACATACAATAATTTTAATCTCCCGAACATATCTTCGTCGAAGCCATGAGCTCTTCATGTAAGTGCTCCTTGTGCTTTCTGGGAAACCATCAGTACAACTCTTTGTGTATAGGGCATTTTTTTCTTAATGATCGGAATTCCACATCTCTCCTGAAGCTAATCTTTTCTGTTTAACTTGTGTCCAATGAATAATACTTATCCTGAACACAGTCAAGTTGTCCGTTTTCATTTTTGTGGCCCTTTTAATGACTACTCCTGATCTCACACTGTTCGGGCATTTCATGTTCGTATGTTTATTGTTGTTTTAAAAAAGTACCGGTTTTGTGGTATTTGCAGATTTTCGGCTTACACCATAAGACGTCACTTCTTCTATGAGATTTTTCAACTTCTAGGGCAGAGTTTAATTGGTTTTTTCTGATTAACGACTATACGGTCGTGCTTTTTTTACGAGGTGGGATTTCTAACCACACGTTTGTGACACTAGAGGAGTTCCCATAGAAGTTTTGGCATCACATTAGTCGAGTTTGACATCCAAATTCTATCTTCATTCAAGTTAAGATCGGCTCTATGAATTACAATCAGTCCTCAGTAATCTTTTAAAGCCCGGCTAATAGTTACCCGTGGTTCTTAGGTCACTACATACTATGATTTCTAAATTTTTGTAATCGACAAGCCTATGTAAAGGCATTTCATTTCTTCATGTAGTCGTGTTATTTTTCACTGACCGATTTTGGTTACTACACTTGCTATAAGTAACTTCTGAAGCCAGCCTTTATGTACACTTAACTAGAGCATTCAGAGTTTTCTGTAATCTTATCAGCCTTATTATTTATAGGTATCCATACTTTGATTTCATTCACAATCAAACTAATTAGTCATTTATGTGCATTAAATAAGCAAAGGGCTCGGAATTATCCCTCGGAGAACTTCACTCTTAACAGATCCTCACTATATTAAAGCACCTCACTCATTTTCTGCTATCATTAGAGCAGTCTCAAACTCTATTAATGTCAAAGCTTTCCAGTTTTATTGCAAGACACAGAAATAGATGCATTGTTAAAGACTTTTATTGGTTTCCTAACCTCCGTGGTGGACACCCGGTAGGTTTATGTTGGTTATCTGTAGTTTCGAGGGGAAGGTTTACAAAGCTAAATGTACTTTTAAAATTATGCTATGTTTCTTTTCTCGAGTTGACGCCAACTGACCACTTGATTGCTTCAGAACACTCCCTAGTTTTCGAAATGTTTGCCCACCACACATTTGGGTAAGGTTGAACTTGATTATATACTGTCATAGGCTCTTAAACTCAGCGATAACACCGCATAATCACTGTTAGTTAGTGATGGTAAAATATATAGACAGGTAAGATCTCCACTTTCGTTTATGAGTACTAAGTTTATCGAATAAGGTCCTTGATTTAAACCACCACCTGCGGATCTGAATACATGTAGTACTAAACCATGATCTAATGTTCACAAGAAGCTAACTATGAAATATATTATCAGATCCAATAATGGACAGATATTTATAATTTACATTGCAAGCATTAAAATTTACTGCTACCAGGCACTGGTTACTTTCATTGTGTTTATTGTATTTTAAAATGAATTAATCAATCGAGCAGATTAAGCCACAATAGATAACACTTGGCATAGATGTACAATCTTCTAGATTTCACAAGTAATTACTTCTCAAGTCACGCTCTCATGGGTTTCACAAGCTAAGAATTTTATTTATGTGCTGTCCTTTATGTTTATTAGAACCCCAACCTCTACTTCACCTATTCCCAATAATTTCATAGTAATGTCAAGTTCATGTACTAACAAATTTTTTGTCACAGCTATGATAAATGCTTTTAATTCGTCCTCCTTCTGTCCATGAGGCTTATTTGCTAGACTACGAATGTTGCTATACAAAACTCCTAAAGAGGCCTTATCAACATTCTTTTCCGAAACCTTACTCCTGGGAAACTTATATGCCGGTTTTTTTCACTTTCTCCTCTGGGCTTCTACTTCAACTAAAGTTGTATTTCTTTTGACTCTATCTTCCTGTGTTATCAGGCCCTATCCAAATGTTGACATTATTTTCCTCTCGAGCATTAGTTAACAGATTTCTTTGTTATAAGACTGGAGCCTGTACATGAAATTGTCTTTTTGTAATGAACTGTTAAGAGTGGTTGTTAAATTTGCGTATCTGGTAAATTGTGTGTGCTGTTGATGATATGAGTGATGAAATCAACCCATGTGTAGTGAAAGCCAGAGTGGCTTGTATCAATCTGGTCCATCTTTACGTCTTTGGTGTCCAGTTGTACCGGTATCTATGGGTTCCAAATACTAAAGAGAAAATTTTTTTTACTTCGATCCTAAAATTAACTTAAGAAATCTACATAGTCATGGACCAATATTCTCATCTTTCTTCTTACCTATTTATGTTTGTTTTTTGATATAGACTATATGAGATATTTGGCAGTATGCTAATTATAGAAATGTCTGATCTTTGAATCGGGGTTATCTTATTTCTTCGAACTGCTTACAGTAGGATTGGAGGCTGTTTAAGTATTTACTCTGCTCTAAGTTGGTTTATAGTCTTACGACTGAATTCTATCAAAGAATTCTGTCACTCAATATCCTGTTACTCAGAACGGCAATCTCCTAGGGCGTTCTTATCAACCTGGAGTGACGAGGTGTTTGTGGATGCCATTCTTCCTTCCTTTGTCTCTTTAATAATTTTCACCCCCCGTTCAACTGGAACGTTGGTATAATGACTTGAGTTGATGACATTTATATTCGAGTGGTCCGCTATTGTTGAGCGGTTCATCATTTATGTGATTTATTTAAGAGTTCCGTTTTGGAGTCGTCTGTTTTATTGCGCTTTATGCAAGTTCACTAACACAATTCTCTTTATCCATTACCAGGATCTGCAGTGCTACTAAAAAGGCGAAGTTAGTTCACAATTTGATGATCACTATCCTTTTTAAAACATGGGATTTTATACATTGACCGTCAGTTACCACTGTATGTCTAACGTGAATCATTTTCCAGGTGCTATACTTTTTTGTCTGATTAAGATGCCGATACAACTTACGGTTTTCGTCAAACTCGAATCCTTGTCAGCACATAACAAACTCAGTTTTGACACTTTTAAAATCCTATTGTGATCGTTCCCCTATTAAGGTGTGTGAGGATCTGTTCATATCTCTACTGTGGAATTTAGACAGGTTGTGTTTATCTAATGAAAAAACAAAGTATTGTATTAAAATAACTTATTTTTTATTCTTATCTCGTCAAAGTTGAGAAGGCAGACGCTAAAGAAATATTCGATTTAGTTTGAGGGATAAAAATTCTCCGAAAATTTCGGACTTTAAAATCCCAAATACTCGTGGCTTATTTCCACGTCAAAATATATTTAAGGTTTTACTAACTTCGTTGTCAGTCGTCAACAGATAGCTAAAGTTAATGTAAAGGCCAATGGATCGGTTAAAATTACTGGTGACGAATCAGGGAAAATTAGTACGATGTGTTGAACAGTTTCTGTTGCTTTATTTAAGTGTGTAATAACTGATTAAAAAGATCCATTATCACTCGTTCGCCTTAATTTTTGCCACCTCACTTATGAAAATACGGTACATGACTGTAACTTTTACCTCGATACAGTGGTCAAGCTTGATTATCATTATTCAATGGAAACGACTTCAGCAAAGCACTCATGCATCGGAGGTCTGTTGTGGCAGATAGGTCGGTTAGCTAATAGTAGGACTAGAACAGATAAATTTGAGGTTTAAGGATGACGTCTGTCCGTAGATCACAAGAAAGTTTTAAAGTACCCTTTTCCTGCGTTTGATATGATTAGGGACGTATGAAGGTTAAATTGAGAAAATGAGCACTTATATACCATCTTTTATAACCGACTTCAAGCTGTTATCTTTTGGTTTGTACAGTTATGATAATGTAACCACTACTGTTGATTGAGTTTATTTTTCGAAATCCTCAGTGAAAATCATAATATCTTGTAAATAACGACAAACTAATAGTTGGATACTAAGATTCAGAAATAATGACAGGAAGTGATTCTTAAACGCGCGTAAACAGGCTTTGTCAAGCTAAAACAGATCGAATATTTAGCGTCCAGGCCTAGTTATCAAGTGACTGTTATAATCTTCAATCATATAATAATTTGCTTTACTCTTATCAAGTACCAACTTCAAACATGAAACGTATATAGTTTGATTTGAGAACTCTGTGGATCAAATCAATGTTAGACACAAAACATATCTTTACCATTTGTTATTAAGTAGAATTGTCTCACAATTTCGTTCGCTTTCATGAAACTTATTTCTTTATGATAATGACATAATGCACTTGTAACAGCTTAATGAATAGAGTTTCTTACTTTTCACTTCTAAATATAGGTTACTTCTTTATAGAGTAAAGTGGTCGCAAAATACCAGAAGTTCAGTTCTCTACTCATTAAAATATTACTGAAGTTTTTTTATCACGATCATATTATTTTATCATCAATATCATTTTATTATCTCAGTATTGTAATAAACCTGTTCAATTTATTTATAATTTTACTTTACCTGTGTTCAGTTTTTCACATTTTCCTTGTTGTTCTGTCTCCTGTTTCTTCCTTACTAATTTCTCTCACAGTATTAGACAAGATCTTCAGAAAAACATCGCTCAGCAAACCCTTTTCTTTCCTTCGTCACCCTCTAAAAAATATGCTCGTTTCTCTATTCAACTAATTATTTAGAGCTTTCTGAAATATTATCTGCTATATATTATGTCGCTTGTCCTATTACATAAACCTTGTTTCACAAGCTTTTTTATTGCTTTCTAACTTCATTAAAATTAAAGTATGGTGTATTCTATTTTGTTTTTAGACGAAAAGCCAAATTACCCTGATGTATACATGAAAATACATGAACCAAATCCGAACGGTTCTTTTTTCAGTAGCTATTTAAATCAACAGTCTGTCATTGCTGATCCGAAGGTAAATTAGTGTTTGCTGTGCATAAAAATTTATGTCGTCGTTAGTCGCAATTAAATGCTTTTATATTATTTTTACCAAGAGCAGTAATTATGTGGAACTCTTTAAAGTTATGAGGAATAATTTTTTTCTTATGTTGTTGAGCAGCATCGTCAAACAAATTTCCTCGAATTTGCTTGTATTTATTATCGCCCCGTTATAAATGTTTTATAATACATCATGTTAGCTAGTTATCTTAATGTCGTTCAAAACACACTAACTTACAATTAGTATACTAATAACACGAAATCGGTAATCATCTCACTGTTCAAAAAGTGTGATGTTTTCTGAAGTGCCGATTCAATAATAGTATGATTTAATTCCTAATACGTCGAAAAAATTTCCTACGTCTTTACACTGCTTAAATACTAAGGAGACTTGAATGGACTTTTATCCAAGCAACTTGTATCATTTCTAAATAATTTATCAGTTTCATAATGTGGACATTTAAGATTCGATTACTGGACAATGGATAAATTAATGTAGGGAGAATCCCATGAGCATAGTCTTATGTAAAATGTTTTCGGACATCAATTAGACGTATTCACAAAATCAATAGTATAATTTCCAGAAATTTCATAAGTATCTCTGACATTCAAACAGATATTTTAATAACGTTAATGAAAGTATTAGTTAAAGTTTAGAAATTTGACTTAATTATAAATAAGAGTTGTGTTGTTTTTATGCTTTAATTCATTTTTAGAACTCCATTTTGAACTCCAGTAAATTGTGGGCAAAGTAATGTGATTAGATATTTTCGACTCCTGAAGTTCAGTTAATTTCTAACCGTTACTAAAGAGCATTGAAAATGGAACAAGAAAGGCACAACATTTTTCAGATAAATATGTTGAACTTCTTAACGAACTAATCAGTGTTTTTCCGTGGTTTAATACCGATCAGTTTTTTGATAACACAATTAGGGTAAACAATTTATTGGTGCATAAATTCTAGTGCTTTTGGTAACATCTGTTTATTTCTGTTTAATTTTTACGTTTCTGCTTTTTTTGATTTTGGTCTACTAAAGTTAGATTTCGTTTTCTCTGCCTGTAGACTGGCGCACGCCAGAGTAGCATGGTTTTGACCAATAATGAATATTCGGAAGTCAAAACAATGATGGACGTATTCCATAGAGGGCTATCTTTATCCCGTAAGTTGTTTCTTTTTAGAATCGATACCAAATAAGTTACATTTCAACTTCTCTTGACTACGATTGATATGTATAAGTTAACTTATGTATAATCAGTTAGTCCGAAGATATTGGTACTTGTGTCAGTGTCAACAATCACTGGATAGTACTCATTTCTCAACCATCTGTGAAAGTATTAGCTAACTGAACACCGAATAATCCGGGAAATTCACTTAATCAATTGTGTAACTCATTTGCTAAGCACAGTTGTGTACTCACTGTCAAACCTTATTGCTGTCGTAAGGATTAGTGATGCTACTATTTTGCCCACATCAAAGTAGATAGAGTGCCATTTGAAGTTGAAACTTTTCAGTCTAAAGTTGAGCGCGTTTTCCATTCAGCCATTGTTCGTTACCAAGGACTACTAGTGATGTAAGTGTGAAAACGATATATGATAAGAATCTATGTATAATATTAGTCCATTAATAGCTCTCGGAAGTTACCCATCATTTCATCTTCGCTAGGATATAACATAAACTACTCTCCTTAAATTTCTAAAAGTGTTTACCGTTATGTTATAACATAACATGGGATTAAAAATAGTGAGTTTGTCAAATGGAATTCTAACATTCGCTTCATAAACATGACACATTTTCTAATAAGAGTAGTTGGGAGGATTTAACTTAAATGATTTATCAGCTGTTATACTAAATAATAATACACTACTGTTGAATTACGTAGGTAGGCAGATAAAAAAACACGTAGCGGAAGGTCAGGAGATTTTGATAATCGTTTGCTCATACAAGAATTCTAGCAAATCCAATTGTGAACGAAAATTGATCAATTATATCGACTTCAACTATTATGTAATCTGTTCCATTGTAGTCGTTGGTTTATAATTTTGTATTGATTGGTTTAATATTTTCGTATAAATATTCATGTATATTAAACGCGGATGACGATCTAATTGAAAACAGTGTTGTTCGCTTTTATTTGTATTGCTCGAATTACATCAATTTGTATAATTTTGCTTTCCCCCACCCTTTTTTTACCACTTTCCGTATACATCCATATATTCAAAACACAAAGAATATATGATTGAACAATTGTTTTCAATAACTTCATGTATTATTTTATAAATTTCCAAAATAAGGTATGGTAGTGAATTAAACAGAGTTATTTGCTAAAAATCCCGAACTCTTGCATCTGTTACGGTATAAATACTTCAAAATTGTATCATTTTTAACCTAGAAAGATCATTTATCAAAGGTTAGAATGATTCGTTATAAAGTGTCATGTTACAATTGATATAATAAAAATTGTGTGAATAAAATGGATTATTGGAAAACTTCGTCTTCTTAATGGAGATAATTATAAGAATGTCGTGTCAATATAATATGTAATAAGAGGGGTTTTGTCAAGGTAATTGAGATAATAGTGAATTGGGTAGATGAATGTATAGACTAAGAAGAAGGCAGGGTAGGTATAAACACAAAAGGAATTATTAGTGGAGATTGAATAAGGGGTTTATGATATCTAGTTGGTGCATTTAGTGCACCAGGGTAAACACAGAAGCTCAATCTCTTTTTGATACATAGGTTACTCTTCCGAAGTTGATTTCGATGGTTTCAGCTCTGCAGAAAAGTTATAATCTTGCTCAAATATTCTTTATTTTTGAATATTCTATGGGGATTTTTAAAATGCTGATATTCATGTATGTTCAAGGATTTTTTAGATAAACTACTTTTGCTTTTGAACTAAAAATGATGTCTGTTACACTTTTCTTTTCGTCTGCAGGTTCAAGAAAGTGTTTAGGTAGCAGATATACTACTAATGAGCCATATTCATGGATTACTTATCAAGAAGTTTCTTGAAATACCAACTAATACTTTATATCTTTTCAAGGTTGATGAAAAAATTCAGGCTTTTGGATCAGCGCTTGTTGGAATTATGAATAAGTATCCAGAGTCAGAAAGGTTTGTAGGTGTTTATGGTCGAAATTCACCACAGGTGTGCAAATTATCGTAATTTAAGCAATTTTCGTTTCGAATCGGTTTTGTACTGTTGTTTTAAATCTGGGTTATTGGTGTGTGGGCGAGAATGATAATGATTGGTTGTTTGCTTGGTCAGACTTGTGGATAGTCTGACAGGCGTTAGATGAGTTATATTTATTTGTCATTATTATTATTATTATTATTGATTATTATTGGATTGTTTGGGATTGTTGTCGGTTTTTGTTGTGGAAATATATTTACGTTGTGGTCAGGCTAATCACGTGTTCTTGAGCTGAGTTGTGTTGAAGTCCTATAGAATAGACACTGGGAGGGTATCTATTGTAGATATTTGTCTAAAACAAATTAACGCCCCATTCGTGCAGAAGTGGAAAACCAAGCGTTATAACAGTTACACAGATAGTAGACAGAATGGGTTTCGGTGAGTAAAAATTGCGGTAACAACTCCAAGCTAATTAGTGTCTGTCAGTACCTTTAATAATCCAACAGTATATGATTCATCATTAATATCATGACATGGAATGTTCGGACAATGTGGTAGACTGGGAGGACCAGTCAAACAGCTGTGGAAGTGAGACACAACTTAGTGGTGCACGAAACAAGTGAAACTCATTGGACACAAGCTAAACAGAAAAGATTAGCCTCAGTAGTGGTGCTGTTGTACTCTGGTCATGAAGAAAAAATGCTTCGCACACACAAGGAGTTGCTCTAATGCTATCCAAAGAATCACGAAAAATACTTGTTGGATAGGAATCTCATGGATCCAGAATCATCAGCACATTCTTCATAACAAAGGAGGCGATTACTAAGAGTGTTACCTAATGTTATGCACCCTCCAATGATAGCAACGACGACGATAAAGATCAGATTTATGAGATACTGTAGTCGATCGTAGAGAAGTGCCCAGAAAAAGATCTGACAATCCTGACGATAGACTTGAAAGCCAAAATCGGAATGGACAACACCTGACTTGAAGATATCATGGGACGATATGTGTGCATTTAACAAAATGGTTATAGGCGGCAAAATCTTCTCCCACAAACACATACACAAAGCTACATGGGTCTCACCGGATCATACTACACAGAACCAGATCGATCAAATTTGCATCAGTAAAAAATTCAGAAGGTTAGTGGAAGATGTGAGAACCAGGAGAGGAACTGGGATAACTTCAGATCGCCACCTGGTAGTTGCTGAGATGGAACTGAAGCTAAAGAAGCAGTGAACGACTGGAGAAACAGCATTACAAAGGTTCAATACAGCCTTCCTTCGATATACTGACAATCTCAACGAATTCAATATAACTCTCAAAAACAGGTTCCAAGCCTTACAAGATCTACTGAAAGAAGGAGAAACTGCTATGAACGACAACTGGAAAAAGATCAAAGAAACATTAACTTCAACGTGTTGGGAGGTTCTGAGCCGCAAGAAGCATCATCATAAGTAATGGATCTCTACCGAAACCGAAGAAGGAAAAAGAAGACAGCAATTAACAACAGCCGAACAAGAACGGATAAAGTCAAGGCACGAACTGAATACACAGAAGCAAATAAGGAAGTGAAGAGGAGCAATAGGGTCGACAAGCGGAAATACGTGAAATATCTATCAGCGACAGTGGAAAAAGCTGCAAGAGAGGAAAATGCGAGACAGCTATGTGGTGCAACGAAGAAACTAGCAGGGAAATATAGTAAACCAGAGATACTAGTCAAGGACAAAAGGATTCTGACCATTGCGATTCAAGAACAAAGGAGCAGATGGGTAGAGCACTTTGAAGAACTCTTGGATAAATCAACCAAACTGAATCCACCAGAAATGAAAGCAGTGCCTACAGATTTTCATATAAATGTCACTCCAACGACGATCGATAAAATCAAGACGATCATCAGATAAGTCGAAAGTGGGAAATCAGCCGGACCAGACAACATACCAATTGGAGTACTGAATTCAGACATAGAAGCAACTGCAAATGTACTCTATTTTCTATTCACGAATATTTGGGAGAACACGTACCGACAGACTGGAAAGAAGGATACCTCATCGGGACACTAAAGAAAGGAGATCCGAGCAAATGTGAGAACTAACTACATAGGCATCACACTAATATCAGTACCAGAGGAGGTTTTTAACAGTGTTGTTGAACCGAATAAAAGGTTCAGTCGATGTCCAACTTCCAGATCAACAGGATGAGTTCCGTAAAGATCGGTCGTGCACAGACAAAATGGAGACACTACGGATCATCGTTTAACAATTAAATGAATGGAACTCGTCACTATACACCAACTTCCTTGACTATGAGAAAGCATTTGGTAGCGTGGATAGTTGAACATTATGGAGCCTTCTTAGACACTGGTGTACTCGAAAAGATCGACAACATCATCCGGAATTCATACTATGGACTACATTGCAAAGTGGTGCATGGATGACGGTTGACAGACTCATTCGAAGTGAGGATCGGAGTCAGACAAGGATGCTCACTCTTCACCTTTCTTTTTTTCCGGTGGTTGGCTGGATTATGAAGAACTCGACGTCTGAGGGGATGCGCTGAATAAAATGGACAGCTTGGATGCAACTGGACGATTTGAACTTCTCAGGTGACTCAGCTCTTCTATCCCATATACACGAACAAATATAAATGAAGATAACTAATGTAGCAGCAGCCTTTGCATTAGTAGGCCTCAACATACACAAGGGAAAAAGCAAGGTCCTGAAATACGACACGAAGTACAACAAGCCAATCACACTTGATGGATAAGTTCTGGGAGAGGTGGGATCTTTCACGCCACTGAGAAGCATCATCGATGAACAAGGAGGGTCGGATGCCAACCTAAGGGCGAGGATTAGAAAATCAAGGGCAGCATTCCTACAGTTGAAGAACATGTGGAACTCAAAACAATTGTCCGTTGACCGGATACCATCAGCAACAGTCTACTGTGGGAGAGAACAAACCAGCTTCGACCTGAAGAGGAAATCAGGAAAAGACGTTGAAGGTGGATATGACATACTTACGCCTGTTACTCCTACTGGAGCTTAGGCCACCGACCGGCATTCCGCAACCCACTCTGTCCTGTGCCTTTTCTAGTTCTATCTAATTGTTATCCATCCTTCTCACGTCTGTCTCCGTTTCTCGGCCTAATGTATTCTGTGGAACTCAAAACAATTGTCCGTTGACCGGATTCCATCAGCAACAGCCTACTGTGGGAGAGAACAAACCAGCTTCGAGCTGAAAAAGAAATTAGAAAAGGACGTTGGAGGTGGATGCAATATACATTGGGGAAATCATCAAAGTGTGTCACAAGGCAAGCATAAACCTGGAATCCAATGTACACTTTGCGCATTCTTATAGAATAGTTGTTCTTGCACTGGCTTCATATGTATTTGTTCTTTGTGTTGAAACGTTTCTTAATAGTTTTAATAAACCATATGATCCCAAAAATGCAATTTAATAGTCCTAGTTTTCCTTTGTCGCCCATCTTAGCTACATTGATTTGTCCAAATTGCTTAACTTATATGCATCGTTGCACCATAAAAATATACTTTAATTATGTCACCATGTATGCTTTTGTTTTATAATGGATTGATAGTATAGGTAATGTTGTTTAAATATTAATTATTGAGTGATAGAGTATTAAAATTCCAAACCATTATCCGTATGCACTCATATATACTGTGATTTTCCGCATTGCCTGAGGTACCAAAAGATACAGCAATGTGATGAGAACAGTTATGACATTTCATCTTATATGTGGTTTGTGATCAATTATACTTAGCCTCTGTGTTTCAGGAGCCTTTATCATTTAAACTTTGAGTTCTTGATATATCAGAGTGTGTTACCTTCGTTTGTTTAATGTAGTAATGATATTTAAGTTTGAATTTGTCTTATTCTAAAATGGTTCGGATAATCACAGAGAATTCCCCGTTTTGAAATAACGGTTATCTAATTTTTTTTATGTCTTAGTTAAATTAATTTCTATAGAGTATTTTTTAATTTCCTATTAGTTGTCTATAAAGTTGACCAAATTTGCATGGAGTTGGATATATACTGATGACACTGGATGACGCTCGAGCTTTATTGCAAAGTAATAAAGATAAAAAACGCGGACTATTCGGTAGTTAAAACAAATCAAGCTTTATGTGAACTAAGGGTCCTATATTCAATATCACGTGAAACCATGAATGTGCACTGACTAGTTCCAAGTTGAGATAAGCTTACTGTTTCTCAGTATTTTTTCTTACTTAAGACAGTCATTGATGAAAACTTTTCAAGTTTATTGAAGCTCTGTGACTTGTATGTACTTAAAATATTTTTCAATCTCAGCACTCGTTGCTATTATTGTGATTGTGAGTTAATTTATTAGAGTAAATATATTAACTCGTAGATGTGGACACAGTCAGATGTAGATAAACACCATGCATCTAATTATTAGCAAGGATGGTGGCTAGCAGTGGAATCCAGGCCTTCGTGTGTCGTCCTATTTCGGACCATACATCTAATTCTTGATGAGTTCATGCTAACCATAATGTGATCATTTCTTAACATTCAGATTGATGAATAATGTGAATTTCATTTACACATAAGGATATTTCACAAAAAAATTTGGGCTGGGGAAATTTATTTGTTTGAATGCATTCTGGCTTCCGTATTTGTTGGAGGGGCACAAATGTTTATAAAGTGGAAATATACCGGATCTAGTGTTTGCGATGTTATAAGATGATAACCATAGTTGAGTTGAATAATTCCGTTTTATTATATTAGATTTTAGGTTTTCTCTATGTTCCAATAAAAGTTAAAATGAAATCAGGGGTGAGAACAATCCTGAAACACTAGTTACTATAGTTCATAGATGCTTGTCTGGGATATTGTCTTGTTTGCACATTTTGATAAGATTATTCAGAAGCAACTGGAGTTTGTCTGTCAACAAAATCATTTTTTCTACAAAAATACTTTTTTATACGAATATATGTTTCAATCCATAAAGTTTGTCTTTGCTATATTGATGCATGTATAAAGAGCCTTCGTTAATATTAATCATAAACATTTAATTCCCACCATGACTTATTGTCTCTATTTCATTTTAGTGGTTTATTACACAATATGCCTGTTTTTGTTACTCGTACACTGTTGTCCCTCTGTATGCTACTTTGGGTGATCCAGCTATGCAACATATTCTTAAACAAAGTAATTTTTTTTAATATACTTGTGTTATACCTCAAGAAATCTTATTTTAGCTTACTGTTGTTTCATACGATCTAGAACATACATAATTTTATATTACCTAAATAAAAATTGTGTAAAGTTTTTAAAATATATTTAAAACAACTATTGTATGATTTAATCAAAGATAAACTTAGTGACATTTGTTTAAAGCTGTTGTACCAATATGAAGTAAGTTGTGAAAAATGAAATATGGGATGTATGCATACAATACAATACAGCCTGAATAGAAAAACTGCACTTAATTTGTAATCTTAATTTTGGAAAATACTCCGATTGGTAATAAAACCCTATTACTCAACATAAAGTAAGCAACAGTAGGCTTGAACCTGTCATCAGGCAATCGAAGATTAAATGTTTAGAGCTTTTGAATCAAAACTCTACAAAAGTTGATGATTCACCAATAAAAATACTGCCATTATTGTTTATTGATGCTGACTGCACAAACATTCAATAACACCTAGTTTTTGCGAAATGATTTCCTAGCTAGACTAGCTCCAGAGTTGATAATTATTTCAGTAACAGATATTTAGACTAGCTATTCTTTATATAATAAATAAGGATTTTTCTTATTTTCTCAACAATTCTAGCTGGGCTCGTCATATTAATGTGCCATTCAGCAGATTTAGCTATCAAGATCCTAGAGAACTTTAATTCATCATTAAAAGTCATTATCATTGCTGTCCAGGATCAAATTTTTGAAGATCTAAAAGCCCAGTATAGTTCTTCGGTGAACATTTATTCATTTGATGAATTCTCGGTGAGTTTTATTCAAATTTTTTAACATTGTAGTATCGAAGATTATTCGATAAGTGCAATTAAGTGTGTTAGTCAGTCAAACACAACGTATAACCTGGTATGCATGTACATCGGTCCAATCTCCCATACCCCATTAACACAGAAAAATGAAATTGTCGGGCCAAATTCCAGAGTAGTAAAGGTAGTAACAGTATAAGTGCTAATAGACATGACTCAGTCCACTTGTCAGTACCTTCATGGACTGGTGCCACATTTTGGTTTGGTCACCCCTAGCTTTTTTCCAGCTTACTACGCCAGATGACATCGACCGTCGTGGTAGGGAGTGGTTGTATATATAGTACTGTAATTTATTTTAATCCTTAGTGCATTCGAACAAGCAACACTATGCTCACCATGTTGGTTAAATTGATAGTCGTTTGTTTGCTTTATGGAATGATGCATTATTTTCAACAGACTATGTTTGAATTTTCCAACATAGACCTAATTCGCATGTCTAAAAGCCTAGTGTTCACTTCTCTCAGGTACTTGAAGTTTAGAATCCCATTGACTGATTAATCCTATGACCCGGAACCGCGTGCTGATTTTGAAAGGCTCTGATCCTGTAATTCGATGAAATACATGCATTTGTTTGGAAGGATCAGTAATCAAATATGTATCAAGTTCTCTTTCCACCACAGTTACCGTGTATAGCTATCGTTGATTAAAACGGAGGAAATTTTATTTCAGTAAGTGTGCCTATTTTAGGAGACTGAATAGTAGATCGTATATGGAAACAAGTTTTAAATATTGATTTTTCCTCAAGAAAAAGAAACATAACGTATAATAATATTTTTCAACTATTGCTGCTTCTCAAAAAAACATATTTTCAAGTAAAACTCAAACATATTGGTTCTTAAGTGGGTTGTATTTATATGCTATTCATTATGAGTAGGCTTCATGTATATTCCTTAGATTATGCTATCTACAGTCGTACCGTGCTAAGCAGCTAGTTTTTATGTGACTAACATATGTTATTCTCGCTTGAATACATTTAGTGACTTTAACTTCTTTCTTCGATCTGTTACCTGGGACACTCAGTGTTTTAGATATTATTTATTTCAATCTTTCTTAAATCCTTTGGTGACTTCACTGCTTATCACTTTAAACTGTTTGCAACTGAGTGAAAGAAAAGATGAAAACTTTGAAACAAGTAACCTTTGAGATATTACATTTGGTAAGGCTTATGATGTCATGTTTACAGTATAGTGAAAGGTATTAACGAACAAATTTACTCACCATTACTCATTCTCATACTAGTTCCTTTGATCACGTATCAAAGCAGTTTATGTATTGAGTATTTTACAAATATCTTCACTGGACGTTGAGATATGTGAATTAAATTAGGTAAAGTTGAAGGCATGGGTGAATATAGTTTAAGGATGGTACTTGTCATTGCCTTAAATAATGTGGATAGAGGTCATAGAAATGGCCATTTCATTCTAGTTTAAAATTCCCTAACAATTCGCACGTACAGCATCAATAAAGCCTAAGACGAGTACTTCCTTATCTCATGGTGACCACATTGCTTGAAAAACTACTGAATAGATATACATTGTTGTATTTTTCCGACTTCGGTCATTTCACTAGTGTAATTAATCTAATTGGGAATGGAACAGGTGTTCAATCTTTACTTCATTTTAAGCGATTTTTCAACTGATGTCAGCATGTGAAGGAAAACATCTTTGAACTTAACTCATCCTAAACCACTCAACCAAAAGATATGAGTTAGTTATCGCCTTGGATTTTGAGAATATACCTAGATAAAAAAAGACATTTTCGTGATACTGATTTATTTAGGAAACAATAGATTTAAGAAGAAAATGTTTGACTACTTTACCAGTTATGCTTCTAATATTCTATCTGTAGTTGTCAGTTAAACAGTATCAGGTAAGTTGGTTAAAACGACGGGAAAAATGCTATAGATCTGATTTCACATATCATCAAATGGAGTCTAATTTTCCATCGCTTTTCACCCATGAGCTTAATTATCTCACTGAAATAATAAATCTTTTAGAATTATTATTCAAGTCTGTGTTGACTCTAGTCGAATTAAACAAGAAAGTATTATGCCTCTGCTGCTTTCAATAGAGACAACGATCTGTCCTGCAAAACTGAAATATATATGTATGTATTTGAGACGAAACTATAATCGTATCAAATCTTTCTGATGGAATATCAGGTTTTGTTGTTTTTATGTTAATTTTATACTCATCAATTTTCCTCTCTGCCAGCTCAACATTCATGGCGTCTGGCAACTGAAACGATGAACTTTCTCGTTGATTGTTTAAGAACATGAAATATTTGGGCTTTATTTTACTAAAAGTTGATTAAATATAAAAATTTAAAAGTTAACTGATCAGTGTAAGATATATTATTTATATTGTTTAGAAATATTTGCGTTTCATACGATTTTGGCAACCAGCATTCATATTTTTTTAAATATGTTAGCAATTCAATCATCTGTGCTTTTCAGCTTGAATAGATTATGGGTGTCGGCTTTTAGGGTTTAAAAAAAAACGTGATTAAAATACCAAGAAATAATGTTTTCTTATCACATGTGATTTATCGAATGATTTTAGTATGTCACAGCAATGATGTTGAAAGTAGAACTATTCATATCACTTGAATTCAAAAACGATAAATCGACCTGAAACGAAAGTGGATATGAAACATATAACACCGAAAAACCATCATAAAATGAAACTGTGTGCAGGCATTTGGTAACTACATACTTATTATGCGTTTACATTTTGGATGGAGAACAGGATGCTACTCAATATACATTTACTAAGCTGATGGAATCACAGTTGAGTTCTCAAGCAGTTAATCTGAACAATAATTTTACTCGTTTATCAGATCTTATGTTGAAAATCAAACTTTATTATTTATAAATTGTAATGCGGAGCTTAATAAGGGATTTTATTAGCAAATTCAGAATTGTGAAATCTGAATATTTAAATCCATGAACTTTTCTTCACCAAATACTCTTTCATATAATCTAACTGATGTGTGGGCAAGAAAATTAATAGTTGAGTTCGTGAGTCAATTCAAGCTAGACCACCATGGAAAACCTGAAAGCACTGGTCGGCCGTTTCATCCTATTGTGGGACTCCTCAGGGGTGCACACCCACGAACCCACTCGCGGGATCCGAACCCAGAACCTTCGATCTCGTGCGCGAGCGCCTTAACTCTAGACCACTGAGTCGGCATCCAAAGGTGTTAATGTATAAGTTCAACCAATCCACGAAATCGCGTCACTATTCACCATTGTTTTCAGTGCGTTACTATCTCACAACAAGCCCGGTTGAACTCTACTGGTCACGGCCTCTCACTAGAACTCCAGGAAATATCTCTTGAAGCCAGTCACTCCCTCTCGGGCGAGACCGAAGGGCCTGGGTTTGAATCATGTGAGCGGGATCGTGGGTACGAACCGCTGAGGAGTCTCATACTTAGACGAAACAACCGTCCAGTGCTTCCAGGTTTTTCATCGTGGTCTAGCTTTAAGTGAATCATGAGCACAACTATTCAATCACTATATTATCCACAAAAACCATTTTCTGAGAAAAATAATTTTTGATTGTTTACCTAGTCAGACTAGTAGATATTTTGACATGTATTAGGTGTGTTGTATATTTTCCTACCCCTTGTTACTATTGTTATCGTCGATTGTTGAAGTTGAAATATACTCACTTTCTGGTTAGGTCAGTCACGTGTTCTTGGTCTGAGCTGTTTTGATGTTGTGTAGAGTAGGCACTAGCATGATATATAGTGTAGATATATACGTCCAAGATAAATCGTTGTCATACCTGTGTAAAAGAGAAAACTGGGCATTATTTCACTATCCGAGAGCACTATTACTTAAGCGGATATATTTTACAATTTATCACTTAGATCTATAACTCATAAGATATGATTATTTGATTATAAATTGATGAGCCTTTCGACAGGTGGATAGGGTTTAAACTAATATATATATACCATGTTCCAAGGTATAGATTCTACATTTTATACCTAAAATTGTTGACAGCATATACATGAAAATAAAGTAAAATTGATATTTTGTTCCCAATATACACTTCTTAAGTCCAATCTAAGTTGTTTTGTCAAAAGCATGTATAGAAACCTGGATCATCTGGTCAATAGAAATTAAGTACTCTAGTATCTTAACATTTATAAACTAGTGTCAAAATACATATGACACAGGGTTAGTTAATTCGAAAGATTGAATTTATCAATTTAATGTCTGTCAAATATTCTCCAGATTCAGGAACTTATCACGTTCCTTCAGACGGATTGTGGAGAGCTCAGTTAAAGGTTTGATGGCGGCATATTCATACTATTTAGTTGTTTAATCACAATAGCATTTATCACTAACGAGTAGTAAATATAGCTGAGAACAGAAAGCAGTTTGGTAAGCTCTCTCTCTCTCTCCCTATATATATATATATATATATATATATATATATATATATATATATATATATATGATTTTTTTAGGATCTTGGAAGAAGTGATCTTAAACCGAAAATTGTGAGTCGTCGTTATGTTTTCTTGTTGAAAATCCTATGATCGTTTTTAGTAATCTATGTTCCATTTACAAATTTTATGCATTGTATTTATGGTATGGTATTCAATCAATTTTTAAAGTCTCAGGATGATGTGTCTGCTTTAATCAAAATGTTTCGCTAGGATAAAGATGGACCATTAGACAAAAGTGTTTTTTTGTGCATAATGTGAGGTGAAAATAAACTCCACTTTTGTTCGTATTTTGACCTTGTACCTAGCCACCAGCCAAAATAAAGCGGGGAATATTACCCATCCTATCTTAATCCATGACGCACGACGTGTTTCGTTACCCGCCGTTTTTGCTCGCTTACGTGGAAAATGTAAAGTTTTCTACGACGAAAATATCACTCCATCATTCTACAGATGTGTTAAGTGTAGATCAGTTAGTCATGATGAAAGGAAAGTTACGGCATAGCAAAAGCCATACCTCCAATTAATTTGATAATAAAAATTATTCTAATATATCTGCAATTGAGTGACTAAATCAGCAAAAACATAATTGTAGTTACTGACTTCGATACACTTATATGATTTGAAAACGTGAAGTTTTTCCCCATCCATAATTCGTAGCTGTTTCGTAGAATGTCTACACACTTAATGAAAACACGTATCATCATATCTTTTTCTATAAGATTTATATATTACCTGATACTGATCATTTTGGTCATACAAATCAGCGAACGAAAGGACATTATCTCTACAGATCAATTAATATAAGCTGATTTTGTGTCTTTTTTGTGTCTCTTCAAGAGTTACTGTCGGTCCCAAGCCCGGGTAAAGGAGGAGGGTTGGGCATGGGGTTAGCGTCCCCATCCCGTAGAAAACTAACTCGCTAAAAAACTCTTACCAGAAAAAATAATTCAAACCATTTTAACTCTGCCCTGGGAGTTAGAAGGTCTTCTTTTAGAAGAATTATGACGCTTCATGGTGAAAGTCGAGTTCCTTCGGAAGCCACGAGGCCGGTGCCCCTTCTAACAACCAGAGCAAACATTTTTGTAGGTACATGGAACGTCCGAACAATGCGGGAGACCGGGAAGACCAGTCAAAATAGCAACGGAAATGAGGAGATACAATTTGACAGTACTGGGAATCGGCGAAACCCACTGGACTCAAGCTAGACAACAAAGGCTAAATACGGGAGAGATGCTGCTATACTCCGGTCACGAAGAGGAAAATGCTCCACACACCCAGTGAGTTTCCCTAATGCTATCCAAAGTAGCACAAAATGCACTTGTAGGATGGGAATCTCACGGATCCAGAATCATCAAAGCATCGTTCAAAACAAAGAAGGAGGGGATTTTAATGAATGTTATCCAATGTTATGCACCCACCAATGATAGCAACGACGACATTAAAGATCAACCCTACGAGCGGCTGCAGTCAATCATAGAGAAATGCCCAAGAAAGGACCTCACCATTCTAATGGGAGATCTAAATGCCAAAGTCGAAATAGACAGCACCGGATATGAAGATATTATGGGACGACATGGACTGGGACAGAGAAACGAAAATGGAGAAAGATTTGCAAATCTATGTGTATTCAACAAATTGGTCATAGGGGGTACAATATTTCCACACAAGTGTATACACAAGGCTACATGGATCTCACCGGACCACACTACAGAGAACCAGATAGATCATATTTGCATCAACAAAAATTCCGAAGGACAATGGAAGATATGAGAACCAAGAGAGGAGCTGACATAGCTTCTGATCACCACCTAGTTGTAGCCAATTTAAAACTGAAGCTAAAAAAGAACTGGACAAACAGCAATACAAAGGTTCAATACAGCCTTCCTTCGAGATCCTGACAAACTCAATGAATTCAAGATAGCTCTCAACAACAGGCTCCAAGCCTTACAAGATCTACTGAAAGAAGAAGAAACTAGTATGGAGGACAACTGGAAAGGCATCAAGGAAGCATTAACTTCGACGTGTCAAGAAGTTCTGGGTCTAAAGAAATACCATCATAAGGAATGGATCCCTATAGAAACACTGGACAGGATCAAAGAAAAAAAGAACAAGAAGACAGTAATCAACAACAGCCGAACACGAGCAGAGAAAGTCCAAGCACAAGCTGAATACATAGAAGCAAACAAGCAAGCGAAGAGGAGCATTAGATCCCACAAGAAGAAATACGTGGAAGAACTAGCAACGACGGCGGAAAGAGCTGCTAGAGAAGGAAATATGAAACAGCTTTACGATACAACGAAGAAACTATCAGGGAAATACAGTAAACCAGAGAGACCGATCAAAGACAAAGAAGGCAAGCCAATCACTGAAGTTCAACAACAGTGGAACAGATGGGTAGAATATTTCGAGGAACTCCTGAATAGGCCGGCTCCAATGAATCCACCAGACATCGAAGGAGCACACACAGATCTTCCAATAGACGTCAACCCACCAACGAAGGAAGAAATCAGAATGGCCGTCAGACAAATCAAGAACGGGAAAGCAGCGGGACCGGACAACATACCAGCTGAAGCACTGAAGTCAGACATCGAAGCAACTACAAACATGCTTTATCTTCTATTCAAAAAGATTTGGGAGGAGGAACAAGTGCCGATGGACTGGAAAGAAGGGCACCTCGTCAAGATTCCAAAGAAAGGAGATCTGAGCAAATGTGAAAACTACAGAGGCATTACACTGCTATCAATACCAGGGAAGGTCTTCAACACACTGTTGCTGAACCGGATGAAGGATGTAGTAGACGCCCAACTACGAGATCAACAAGCTGGATTCCGTAAGGATCGATCATGCACAGACCAAATTGTAACACTACGGATCATCGCCGAACAATCAGTTGAGTGGAACTCGTCACTATACATTAACTTCATTGATTATGAAAAGGCATTTGACAGTGTGGATAGGAGGACGTTATGGAAACTTCTACGACACTACGGAAATCCTGAGAAGATTGTCAACATTATCCGGAACTCATACGACGGACTACAATGCAAAATCGTGCATGGAGGACAGCTGACAGATGCATTCCAAGTAAGGACTGGAGTAAGACAAGGCTGTTTACTCTCTCCCTTCCTCTTTCTTCTGGTGGTCGACTGGATTATGAAGACCTCGACATCTGAGGGAAAACACGGCACAAAATGGACAGCTCAGAACCAATTACACGATTTGGACTTCGCAGATGACCTAGCCCTCCTATCGCATACACATGAACAAATGCAGATGAAGACAGCCAGTGTAACAGCAGTCTCTGCATCAGTAGCCTCAACATACACAAAGGGAAAACCGAGGTCCTCAAATTCAAGGCGGAGAACAGCAATCCAATCACTCTTGATGGCAAAACTCTGGAAGATGTAGAATCCTTCACATACCTGGGAAGCATCATCGATGAACAAGGAGGTTCAGATGCAGACGTAAAGACAAGGATTGGCAAAGCAAGGGTCGCATTCCTACAATTGAAGAACATATGGAACTCAAAACAACTTTCAACCAATACCAAAGTGAGAATCTTCAATACCAACGTCAAGGCAGTTCTACTGTACGGAGCTGAAGCTTGGAGAACTACAACAACCACCATCAAGAATGTACAAGTATTTATAAATTGTTGTCTACGCAAGATACTCAACATCCGTTAGCCGGATACCATCAGCAACAGCCTTCTGTGTGAGAGAACAAATCAGCTTCCAGCTGAAGAAGAAATTAGGAAAAGACGTTGGAAATGGATAGGACATACATTACTCAAATCATCAAAATGCATCACGAGACAAGCCCTAACTTGGAATCCTGAAGGATAGCGGAAAAGTGGAAGGCCTAAGAACACATTACGTCGGACAATAGAAGCAGATATGAAAAGGATGAATAGGAACTGGAAGGAGCTGGAAAGGATTGCCGAGGACAGGGTTGGATGGAGAATGCTGGTGAGCGGCCTATGCTCCTTCACGAGGAGTAACAGGCGTAAGTAAGTAAGTAAGATTTTGTGTCATCGTGCTTTCAATGATATACTTGTAGATTAATTAATTCTTTTGGTTTTTATTACCATCGTTCAAATGAATCAAGTCAGTGCATATTAAACAAGATACAAGACTACTTTTCTTATATTTAGACTAAGTTCTGTTTTTGCATACTTTGTTGAATCACATCATCATACACGACTGGTAGAACTTGGCATAGTAGATGGGTTTAGTGAGATTAAACATAAGGAATATCAAACTAAATTCACAGTTTTGTATTCTTTGCAACAAACTTAAGTTTACTCCACGCATCGATAAAACAGCTTATTTCCTATGTTGACCAATCGCGTTTTCACGGAGGTACTTTGATTTCTGCTAACTTTAAAAATAATTTATCGTAATACTTTAATTGATTATTGAGTAGTTACCAGCTGTTTGTCTGGTCTTTTGGTGCTTATCGAACTCTGCCGATAAAGTTCCAATGCGGTCGTTAGTCTGAGTGACTTGACATCGTTCTCATCGTATTAAAATATTGGGTGGTGATTTGAGGTTCCTAATCACTATATAGAAATCAAAGGTAATCCAGGTTCTAACATTTCTGACCTCCCATATAACTGTATTTAATAAAGCATTTGAAACCGATTTTAATAATGTTTCGTGTTTTCAAATTGTTCTCTCTATGAACTCGAAAGAAGTTCATCTATAGTAATAATGTTTAATTTTGCTTTGCTTTATAGCCTCCAGCTGAGGATGATCTATGCCTCATCTGTTATACTAGCGGCAGTACAGGTGTGTATCTATTTGGTCTTTTTTTAAGTAGGTTGCACATCCATAATTTTTTGTCAAATCATGAAATGAAATTTAGATTGCAATGTCCTGTATTCTGCGAGATACATTCATTTCATTGTCAAAATCCTCATTACTGCATTCGTAATGCTATATACTGTTATTTTCACATCAGAATGCTCATTACAGTGTCTGAATAAGCTGTACATAGTGAAATACCAAAAGTATTATCCCGTAAATTAATATAATTCGTCGACGTAGAATTTTTCTGCGATTAAATTATGGCGTTACGCATATAACTTATTGTGAAATCATATCACTGCGTCACTCTATTTCCAATCTGTTCATCAGCCCCATATGGGTGCCTCATAGATTAAGAAAGTTTGTTTTGACTTTATTTTTTGACTGTCCACTAGACTATCTTCCATTGTCTTTCAAATAATCTGTAGCTTAAGTTTAATTCTTATTATTAAAGGAAAACATTTTGCCGATTGATTATCAGTCAATTAATCAGGAGCATTGTAGAACCTGTGGTATTTATACATTAGTTCAAGTCGTCAGACCACATCTATACAGTAAGATAAATACCAAAGTAGTAATATAAATGATGAAACATGGAGAATATGATTGGAGAAGTATTAATTCATAGAATGAACGGTGCAAGATAGTTTCAAAATAACATCAAATAGTGAGTGTATCTACTCTATTAGTACTGATTCTGAGCTGTCATCTTAAGTTTCTAACCACTGATCATGCTTATCGCGCCGATCGCGACCAGATAGTCCTCATCTACCAACATGCCTCAGACCCACAGTAAATGACTTCATGGACTAACGCCATGTTCTGGTTGGGCCTCCCCTAGCTTTCTTCCAGCCTACTTTACGTTAGCTACCAACGTCCGTCGAGGTAGATGGTGGTTGAACATGTGTGACACACATCCTAACCATCTCAGTTGATGAAGATTTACTAATTCATCAGCCGATTTTCACCTTTTTTTCCTAGTACCCTGAGTCTGACCTCACCATTGATCACTCGGTAATTTCACGAAACGCGAGCATTGCTTTTAAGATACCTATAACCAAAAAACATCTGGCCCATGCATGTTTTAAACTTTAAAAGTTCATATTTCACGTTCATTAAGTTCTCTGTAGTATACACTCTATTTGGTTGGTAGATGAACATCTTTCCTATGCCACAGGTAACAGAAGTTGACAAAAGTCGGTCGGGCTTCCTGAATTTATGTTAAGATTTCTTCAAAAACAAATAAATGGGTTTGACAAGACTTCCATGATAAATGAAGAGATCGACGCGCTCAACTACTTCGTTTCCCATCATTAGTTCATGCGTTCATCCAGACCAGTTCTGAAGGAACATTTTGCATTTAGAGAGAGAGAGGGAGAAACACATATCGAACATGTTAGTATTATTGCCTATGGATATAATAAAACTCAGTTTTTTCAGGGTCGTTACCGAATAGGACTATATTATTTTCATATTTCAAATTGATAAGTGAATATCCTGGTAATAGATCAATCCCTGTCAAGTCAGACAAGGAAAATATTCCATCTAGAGTTATATCTGTGGTGAAGTTTGTTATGATGGACGATATTTGAAATCTGATATTGATACACGACGTGCTACGCGCTAATTCCCCACTTGACTACTTGAGCGAGAACACAAGAGTAGACAAGAAAGTATATTGGGCTACCGAATAATATGCACAAATACTCATTTATGTATATCAACCCTACCCCTTAGGAAATCAACCCATTTTTCAGCCACGAAAATGAAATTGTCCCTCAGGTCACTTCTGATTGCTATCGATTGACCTTCTCATTTGGCTACTCCTGATTGGCTTACAATATCACCTTTACCTCCTAAAAAATAAGACTTATTCTTTGGATTTAACTGACTGGTCAATTAAATAATCTAGCGACAGGTTCGAGCTAGAAGGTTCTTTAGTCGTCGATTGCGGATGTGGTTTACATATCGCATCAGGTATTTATCTGGAACATCAACTTTGTACACCATGTCACCGAATCTTCTTACGATGACACCCACTACCGACGCAGACCCTCATTGTCGAAAATTTCTTACACTGGTAACCCATTAGAAAACTGACATTCAATTCTCCTCACCTCGGGTTTACAGTCAGGCCTTCTTTTCTATGGATACATGCCGTCGAATGAAGTCGGAATCTTTCTTCCTAATATTAATTGAGCTGGCGATACACCCTTATGTGAAGTAGAGTTCGGGATCGTTCCGGATGACATTTTTGTCCTACCATACTCTTGTGAGCATTTTGAAAATCACTAGAAAACTCCCGTTTGTGCATCATATAAAAATAGGAAGATAATTGATTACAAATAAGATTAAATGGGTAATCAGACAGTTTTAATTTTGTGATCCAGTCACAACCCAATAGATTGAAAGATTTATCGGCAACATAACATTTGGATTTGATTATCGAGTCATTAAATTTGATAATGCATTTGATAATTCCAGAAATCTTAATTGGGGTGCCTGATGCATTATTTGTGCAATAGGTAGTAGGATAAATGCTTGGTCGACCAGGTTCGTGCCAAGTTTTGTGAGAAATTGTAGTAACATCGTATTCAGTGTCCAATCGCAGTGCGATAATTCGATCATCAACATTAATAGATATATATATTGGCATAAAAATCGGGCGTTACACTCACGAAACATGTACTCAATCGATTTTTTTTGACATTTGATGATGCTTTGAGATTTTACCGCGTTTGTAAAATCCCTCCTTATGGCCATATCAAAGTGAAAATGGGCAGTCCTGATTAAGACCACTAGCGGTTACCAGTTATGATAACGGTTAGCTATAAACTTTTACTCGACCAATAGTTCTGAAGCAGAAGGTCTTAACGAAATTCATGTACTTCTTTGGCACACATTTTTTATGATAAACACTTCTACAAAACCCTTCGATCTATAAAGTTTAATGCCACCTATAATTCAAAAAAAAATTATACCATTTTTGGACGTCGATTATTACGTCTTTTGTCTGCAACATGATAAATGGTAAATTCATGACTAAAACACTCACGTCCAATTCAAAGACCAGCTTGCTTGTCTGGAGTTCATTGTTCACGAGCTCTAGTTGTGGGTTGAATGGTTTATAAGAATGGTAGGCGAGACTATAATTTATGGACGAAACCAATCAGATTTAGAATAACAGGTCTTGAATTTTGGCGCGAAATTCAGTCATTCATTTGGCTAAATAGCATTTTGGCGTTTAAACTGATATCAGTTGGTGATGAAAACCTTAAATCGAATTCCTAACCCTAACAATCAACTGTAAATCATAATTTTATTTCCTCACACTGGTTTACAACTGTCATTTAGTCCTAGTTAGTAGGTGGACATTCCCAAGGTCGTCCATAAATTATAATGTCACCTAATAGTATTAATCAAACTGATTCCACTGAAATTATGACAAATATTTATAGCTCATGTTGGGGAACTTACAGGTGTTATGGTTTCTGAGCTGGTTAGTTTAGTTGTGAAGTTTTTCCTATTCTTCTGAGCAACACCGGCACGTACTTCAAAGAGAAGTAAGCTACTGAAATTTCTTCACAATTGTCTGACATCTGTTGAACTGGAATCTGGTTGGTTATCCGTAGTTTGTCAACGCTGCTCTCCATGTTTATTCTGATTGTTTTCTCTCATGACTTGATGTCCGACCTTGCAGTCGTCAGACGTTTTTCTTACTGGCTGATAGATCTGATTGATCTCGATGAATCTATTGATCTATGGTTGATCGGAGTGTTAGGATTTTAAAAATTCTCTGAATTCCTTGTAATGATTAAAACTGGGCATATAGGATTATGTTCAGCTAAAATTTAGCTAATAATTTAGTCAGTTTACCTGCCGAAATTGGACCATTGTCACTAACACTTTCCGAAATCATACTATCAGGGGCTCCTAATTTCTCTTATTATCCTTGACCTTTTCAACTTCGTCCAAAGTATTGGGTGTATGTCACGATCTCAGTTAGATTGTTTGGGAATAGTGGATAACTGGAAGTCACTTTAACTGCTTCTTGTTGAATGTATGCTTCATTTCATTCACTGACGTTCTAAAATTAAGGTTGACTTTACAAACCATAAAAACACAACTAGGTAAATTCTGAATGTAATATCTTGACGCTGAAAATAGTTTCAATAATGTTGTATCTAAAACCATTTCCATCAGTCAACTTGACTGACCAAATAGCTAACTTATGTAAACTAATGGTTGTTTTGGACAATAAGTGATTTCTAGCTATTGGTGTCGTTCTGTAGTGTATCATGCTGCGAATTCCACACTCAACGATTTCAGTCATTTTCTAGATTTAGTTCAGAATCAGATTTTCCTGAAAAATACTATGGCTCGATTTAAATTTTCATTCTCAAACCAAATATGAATTTTTTAAAGCACTGGTTTCAGTTTAACATACCATATGGATGGCTAAAATCGGATACATTGAGCTACTTAACTCTTTTGCATCACAACAATTATCATATTCAACTCTAATCTGCCTTAGGTCCTATCCGTTTAGCTAGCAACCAATGTAATATTCTGTGTAAATGATTGATAGTACTTATCATCGCGAGAAATAATAAGATTCATATAGTTTAATTTCTATCCAATATTAGTTTTCTATGCTATTATGCGATCTTTTTGCCGATCGATTTTGTATTTAAAGTTGCAGTAGCCTTTTGATAACAGTTAGATGTAAGTTAGACATAACTGTCTGCCGTCAAAATTTCCTGATTTTTTTAAACTTAGCAAATCTTATCCAAAATTCGTTGATCAATAATTTCAACTAGATAACATTACACCGATTACTGTATAATACTCTTTTACCTTACTCTTGAATATTTTATCAGAAAATATAGTTAATTGGTCGTAATTTTGAGTTTAAAATCTTTTATGTTCAGTTTTTATGTATGTTGTCAATCATTATAATTCAAGTTTTTGCTTGAATCCGAAATTTAGGCTTGGCCAAGGGTGTCATGATTAGTCATGAAAATCTGGTAGATACAATCTGCTCTACAATGGAGTCTACGGAAGCAAAGGCAAGTTACTTAGGTTTAATAAAGCAATAAAAATGAAATCTTACTTTTTTCTCAAAAAGACACACCAGGGATCCTTGTTCATAAACATCTTAATGCAGTGTAATTTACAAACAAAAAATTTTTTCAAGCTTACAGACTTTAGAAACTATTTGTGTATTGATTAAATGAACTATGTATTTCCTAAGAGTTATCAGCTGAACACTACAGCATACTGATTGACCTGTCTAACACAGTCATGTAAGTGTTGTCACATTCAATTATTAATGCTTACAAACTAAAACACCGGAAAAAATACGATAATGACCCGATTTCTTGAATGATTATAGCAATTTGAATGTTATATATATCAGTTTGTCAAATGCTGCATAATGTTTGTACCTTACCTTATAAACTCTATTTACGTAATTAATTGAGTTAGTTGAGAACTGGGTCTATCAGCTCAAAACACATCTCAGATGTAAAGTTTCTAGTTATGCTAGTGGAAATACCCTACTCCTATTAGAAGACTGTAACAGCATATAGTTGAGGGAAACTTCGAATTATTTGCTTTATTTTAAGAAGTGAATAAATATGAAATATCCCGATGTGAAAAATCTATCTAAAAGAAATAACATTGAGCTAATCAGAATCGGGTAAACGAGCTAAATTCAAAAAAGAATAACTTTTATATCATACCACGTGAAACGAGCATTAAAAGTACTATTGCATGATGTTCGGAACGTTTAAAATGATAACGAAAAACTATTTTCTCCCATTATAAAAAAAATGATAATGTTAAACTTATGAAATGTTCAATTCTTCCAAAATAGACTAAATATAACATGCAAACCAACCTTATCTGTAAATTCTAACCATCAATCCTGACCCTAACTCTAAATCCTTAACCGTAAACTTCTAATCCTAACCCTGAAATATTAGTCCTAATTTTAAACACGTAACTATGAACAGTATGTAAATCGCCAAAAATATTATTACGTCCTTGTAATTGTGTGATAAGACGGCTAACGATTACTCATATGGACGGATTTAGAAACAGAACAATCTGTAGAAGACTTTAATGGATTTATTAATCATGTAAAATATCTTTACCTTTTGCAATATTGTTCGTCCTCCACAACTTATTCATGTGCTGATTAGCTAACGACTGAGTAAATTCCATTTTGGTTGTTTTAAGCTTGTCCTTTTACCATACTCTTACCGATCATTGGTGAACATAGTCGAAATGTAAATCATTGAGAAGTACGTTATTTTATTTTTCCTGAAGGTCTGACTTGACTGTTGCCTCCTTTAAACTGTTATTAGACCTCAAATGTTTCAGTTTACCACAACTTTGCTTTCTGCCGATAAAATCTTGAATAAATCATTTTGTTCCGTTCAAATCTGCCTGCAAATGTTTGTGTACGCTTGTTCTATTTATATTATCCAAATCTTTGAAACACATTAAATTATACCATAAAATTATTCACGCCCAAAATACTCATAAACTTTATTGATTAATTTCCCGACAGTAGCTGCTACCTTGGCGTGGTGGTTGGGCTTGCCTATCGTGATGACCCGACCAAGCTATATTGACCGGACATATATTCCTATAGGTCCTATTATGCCAGGCACGTCTGTTGGAGAACTGTAAGATTGAAGGCAACAACTCAAACTATGAGGGCGAAGTTGTACTGCTGACTGTAGAGGGCTGTGACGGCAGTAAGATGTTTCTCTCGGACAACCAGCATATGCAGTAATGCTGCTTTCTCACAAGGAAGGGGTTAGAAATGGTTTACCCTAAAATTGTCACACCAAACCTTACCTCACGGATTTTTGTCTTCGGCGGTGAGGCCTTTTGAAGAACGAAGCTAACACGTTAAAAGCTTCCTACAAGAAGGCCGCGCGTAACCGGCCTCAAGCAGTTGTCCTTTGGGCTCTGCGGTCACTCTTCCAGGTCGTTATGACCAACACTAATCCAACTTCTATTTCAAGTTCCTCAAGAAATACCCTTCCACGTTGTGGGCAACCGGGAGGTGACATCAGCCCTCATGCCCGTAACAGCACACGAGACCAATTTGGTCACAATTAAATCCTATAGTAATTCTCACATCTGCACGACTAACCCTTCTCACGTTCCCTTATCACCTCGCGGCGCTAATGCAAGCGATTTGAGTATGCAGAACGTTATTCTTGGTCTCCTGAAACCAAGCTCTAAACTACATATAGGAAGGAGCTTTTAACGTCTGAACACTATGCCAAATAAGACAACTGGCTTCATTAGCTAGGATTTTAGAGTCTTGCGCCATCGATGTGTGCTGCGTCTCCGAAACGCGCATACAGGATCCGAGTAGCGTCATTCATCTGACCTCACCACTCCAAAATAAAGAACCGACTCGATTCACACTTCGTGTATCTGGAAGCCCTGATTCTGCTTCCCGTGGCCTCGCCGGCATAGGCATAGCATTGAGTTTTAAAACAGAACCAGCTCTCTTAGAGTGGATCCCAGTAGACAGTCATTTGTGCTCTGTCCGACTGAACGGAACAGTAAGGATCCGAAAAGATAAGGACACTCGTCGTTACCTCTTCGTCGTTTCTGCCTATTCTCCCACTGACTACAGCTCAGATGATGTAAAAGATGAGTTTTACAGAAAGCTCTCCGACCTCCTCCGAAAACCTAGGCGTTCTGATGTAGTAATAATGGCCGGTGACTTTAATGCTCAAGTAGGTAAACTAAGCGATAGGGAAAGACACCTAGGTGGGTCTTATAGCGTCGTGGCTCAAAGAACAGATAATGGCGACCGTCTGTTGCAGCTATGCTCGGATAACCGCCTCTTTCTTGCAAATACTAACTTTAAGCATAAGGAAAAACATCTTTTAACATGGAGACCCGCTAATTCGTCCCAACGTTGGACCCAAATAGATCACATCGCTATCAGCTAGCGATGAAGGGGCTCGATAGAAGACTGTTGCTCATTCTGGAGCACATGCTTAAATTCAGATCATGCTCTAGTACGAGCGCGTATCTGCCTGCGTCTTACTGGATATAGGAAAGACGCTGCAAGGAAATCTCTTATGGTCCTACTTAATGACATCCAAGCTAAGAATATATTTCAGGAACAACTAGAAAAACATCAGGGCTGTCCACTCTCTCCATTCTTGTTCAACTTTTTCTTCGACGTACTTTTAGAGATAACACTTTCCTCGTCTAGATTTCCAAGGGTTGAACTTTTACCGGGAGGTTCACTTGTTGACTTAGAATATGCTGATGACATAGTGTTATTTGGTGAAGACGCTGACAAAATGCAGAGTCTTCTGACCACTCTAAGCAACACTGCAAGCATGTTCGGGATGCGATTCTCTCCCTCGAAATGCAAAATGTTGCTTCAGGATTGGGTTGCATCGACACCCGAACTAATGATAGGAGTAAAGTAATTGAGCGTGATACAATTGTTAGAAAACGGGTTCTAGGAAAGGATGGAAAATCGATTGATGAAGTAGTGAAACTTCATCAGTTGAGATGGCTGCGACACGTGTTACATTGCCCAACCACCGACTGCCCCGACGAGCGATGTTTTATGTTGTAGGAGTAGGTTGGAAGAAAGCTAGGGGTGGCCAGAACAAAACATGGCACAAATCCATGAAGTCGCTAAAAAGTGGACTGAGCCATGTTGGTAGGTGTAGACCACCTGGTTGGGATCCACGAGACGATAGCAACCGATGACTAGACAACTTGAATGACATGGTTCAAAATCGTTCGGAATGGAGCAGGTGCATTCACTATTTGTGCTCTCCCAAATTCTAATCTTCTGAATTCTTCATGTCCCTTTCTTTTTTTTCTATTTTCAAATTTATTTCACTGGATAATACTCCTTGAATAACATCTTTAAACCCTAATCTTTTCGATTACTGTTTATACTTTTACTACCTCTATCACTACGAAATTCGAATTGAAAATTGTATCCCTGTGCTAATGTGATGTGGCAACTTAAACTGATGTATGTACGTACACATTTCTACGTTGTTGCTGATTGGCTAATTGATTAATTTTATCTTTCTACAGTTGTATTGTCGGAATTCTGTTCACATTTCATATCTACCTTTTGCTCATGTAATGGAGCAAGTTACTTCGGTAAGTCTTTTGCCTTTACATTATTAAAGCACTCGGTTTTAATAATATGAGTAATTATGTTACATTTTAAATTAACAATGAGTACTGTAAATATACCAACTTACGTAATCTTTTGTATGAAAATCATTCTAGTTGCAAAGATTTCTAGTCACTGTATAAATAAATAGGAACATTATTCACTTGGGTTTAATGGACCTCACAGACGTTTTTTCTGCTTTGGTGTAAAAATATTCATATTCAGTTACATAGCAGCACAATTGTACTAGAGATTCATGTAGAGTTATTTTTAAACTGTTACTGAAATACTCAATATTCATTGAAGTTTGGTGTTTAAAATTTTTTTCTTTTTCTATATCACGTTAGTAACATTTTGTCCGTTCCCAGATATTATCAAAGTTAGTTTCTGTAACTTGCTAACTGTTACCCTTACTATAATTCAAAATGTTTGAAATATATCTAATCTTTCATCTAACATCAAACGAAAGTTTGTAGTATCCTAACTAACCCATAGGACTGATTAAATTGACTATTTTTTTTAGAAATTTAGGCTATAGGTCTTTAACTGACTCAGTCATTTTGATCAGTCATGTATTCTGATAGCTATTAAATTTGAGACTTAGGACTTGTTACGAGTGGAAAACATTAACTAAACCACTTCAGTTAATTTGATCAATCAGTTATTTCCTGATAACATATCTAGGATTGATAACTTCAAGACTGCCACTGAGGTGTGAATAAAATTTCAAAGGTAATATATTAATAGTGACTCGTCGATAGATAACGAGGCAAGACTATAATTTATGGACGAAACCAATCAGATTTAGAATAACAGGTCTTGAATTTTGGCGCGAAATTCAGTCATTCATTTGGCTAAATAGCATTTTGGCGTTTAAACTGATATCAGTTGGTGATGAAAACCTTAAATCGAATTCCTAACCCTAACAATCAACTGTAAATCATAATTTTATTTCCTCACACTGGTTTACAACTGTCATTTAGTCCTAGTTAGTAGGTGGACATTTTCAAGGTTACTTTAACGTCACTCAAAGGTCATCCATAAATTATAGTCTCTCCTTGAAAAAGAAAGGTCTTTCGTTATTCAATTCCTATTTTATCGAACTACTGATGTTTTTACATGGATAGTTATGAATCGACCAACTATTTTTGTTAGATTATCTGACCATCTGCAGACATTTACCCAGATATCAAAACTATAGTGCGTTAATGATTAGTGTTTGAAAACAGATTATAACAAAGGTCCCATGAAACGAATTTTAAATTCTGAGTAGATTTAAAATTATATAAATAATGTTTTTTTTAATTCATTGACACAAGGTAATAGGTAACCTTGAAGAAGTGACAAATTGTCGGTATTATCATTTGAATACGTACTCGTCATGCATCTATTCTAGAGCTACTGCCGGTCTCAAACCAGGGTAAAGGAGGAGGGCTTGATATGGGATCAGCACCCCAACCCGTGGAAAACAACCTTGATAAAAATAATGCTAACCAGAATAAAAAAATCAAACCATTTAAATTCTTCCCTGGGAGTTTAAGGATCTTCTTTTAGAAGGATTAGGACGCCTTATGGTGAAAGCCGATATTCTTCGGAAGTCAACAAGTTGATGTCCTTTCTAACAACCAGAGCAACGATTAACAGATAAATGGAAAGTTCGGACAATGTGGTAGACTGGGAGGACCAGTCAAACAGCTGTGGAAGTGAGACAACTTAGTGGTGCACGAAATAAGTGAAACTCATTGGACACAAGCTAAACAGAAAAGATTAGCCTCAGTAGTGGTGCTGTTGTACTCTGGTCATGAAGAAAAAATGCTTCGCACACACAAGGAGTTGCTCTAATGCTATCCAAAGAATCACGAAAAATACTTGTTGGATAGGAATCTCATGGATCCAGAATCATCAGCACATTCTTCATAACAAAGGAGGCGATTACTAAGAGTGTTACCTAATGTTATGCACCCTCCAATGATAGCAACGACGACGATAAAGATCAGATTTATGAGATACTGTAGTCGATCGTAGAGAAGTGCCCAGAAAAAGATCTGACAATCCTGACGATAGACTTGAAAGCCGAAATCGGAATGGACAACACCTGACTTGAAGATATCATGGGACGATATGTGTGCATTTAACAAAATGGTTATAGGCGGCAAAATCTTCTCCCACAAACACATACACAAAGCTACATGGGTCTCACCGGATCATACTACACAGAACCAGATCGATCAAATTTGCATCAGTAAAAAATTCAGAAGGTTAGTGGAAGATGTGAGAACCAGGAGAGGAACTGGGATAACTTCAGATCGCCACCTGGTAGTTGCTGAGATGGAACTGAAGCTAAAGAAGCAGTGAACGACTGGAGAAACAGCATTACAAAGGTTCAATACAGCCTTCCTTCGATATACTGACAATCTCAACGAATTCAATATAACTCTCAAAAACAGGTTCCAAGCCTTACAAGATCTACTGAAAGAAGGAGAAACTGCTATGAACGACAACTGGAAAAAGATCAAAGAAACATTAACTTCAACGTGTTGGGAGGTTCTGAGCCGCAAGAAGCATCATCATAAGTAATGGATCTCTACCGAAACCGAAGAAGGAAAAAGAAGACAGCAATTAACAACAGCCGAACAAGAACGGATAAAGTCAAGGCACGAACTGAATACACAGAAGCAAATAAGGAAGTGAAGAGGAGCAATAGGGTCGACAAGCGGAAATACGTGAAATATCTATCAGCGACAGTGGAAAAAGCTGCAAGAGAGGAAAATGCGAGACAGCTATGTGGTGCAACGAAGAAACTAGCAGGGAAATATAGTAAACCAGAGATACTAGTCAAGGACAAAAGGATTCTGACCATTGCGATTCAAGAACAAAGGAGCAGATGGGTAGAGCACTTTGAAGAACTCTTGGATAAATCAACCAAACTGAATCCACCAGAAATGAAAGCAGTGCCTACAGATTTTCATATAAATGTCACTCCAACGACGATCGATAAAATCAAGACGATCATCAGATAAGTCGAAAGTGGGAAATCAGCCGGACCAGACAACATACCAATTGGAGTACTGAATTCAGACATAGAAGCAACTGCAAATGTACTCTATTTTCTATTCACGAATATTTGGGAGAACACGTACCGACAGACTGGAAAGAAGGATACCTCATCGGGACACTAAAGAAAGGAGATCCGAGCAAATGTGAGAACTAACTACATAGGCATCACACTAATATCAGTACCAGAGGAGGTTTTTAACAGTGTTGTTGAACCGAATAAAAGGTTCAGTCGATGTCCAACTTCCAGATCAACAGGATGAGTTCCGTAAAGATCGGTCGTGCACAGACAAAATGGAGACACTACGGATCATCGTTTAACAATTAAATGAATGGAACTCGTCACTATACACCAACTTCCTTGACTATGAGAAAGCATTTGGTAGCGTGGATAGTTGAACATTATGGAGCCTTCTTAGACACTGGTGTACTCGAAAAGATCGACAACATCATCCGGAATTCATACTATGGACTACATTGCAAAGTGGTGCATGGATGACGGTTGACAGACTCATTCGAAGTGAGGATCGGAGTCAGACAAGGATGCTCACTCTTCACCTTTCTTTTTTTCCGGTGGTTGGCTGGATTATGAAGAACTCGACGTCTGAGGAGATGCGCTGAATAAAATGGACAGCTTGGATGCAACTGGACGATTTGAACTTCTCAGGTGACTCAGCTCTTCTATCCCATATACACGAACAAATATAAATGAAGATAACTAATGTAGCAGCAGCCTTTGCATTAGTAGGCCTCAACATACACAAGGGAAAAAGCAAGGTCCTGAAATACGACACGAAGTACAACAAGCCAATCACACTTGATGGATAAGTTCTGGGAGAGGTGGGATCTTTCACGCCACTGAGAAGCATCATCGATGAACAAGGAGGGTCGGATGCCAACCTAAGGGCGAGGATTAGAAAATCAAGGGCAGCATTCCTACAGTTGAAGAACATGTGGAACTCAAAACAATTGTCCGTTGACCGGATACCATCAGCAACAGTCTACTGTGGGAGAGAACAAACCAGCTTCGACCTGAAGAGGAAATCAGGAAAAGACGTTGAAGGTGGATATGACATACTTACGCCTGTTACTCCTACTGGAGCTTAGGCCACCGACCGGCATTCCGCAACCCACTCTGTCCTGTGCCTTTTCTAGTTCTATCTAATTGTTATCCATCCTTCTCACGTCTGTCTCCGTTTCTCGGCCTAATGTATTCTGTGGTCTTTCTCTCCTCCTTTGGCTTCGAGAATTCTAAGTGAGGGCTTGACTTGTGACGCAGTTGGGTGCTTTTATCAATGTGTGTCTTATTCACTTCCAGCGCTTCTTCCTGACTTCTTACTCCGCTGAAATCTGGTTTGTTTTCTCTCACAGTTGTTTGTTGCTTATTTCGTCTGCCCAACGGATCTGAAGTATTTTTCATAGACAACTGTTAATAAACATTTATATCTTCTGGTTTATGGCTTTTGTAGTTCTCCAAACTTCCCCCCATACAATAGGGATATGACATAAATTGGGGAAATCATCAGTGTGTCTCATGACAAGCCCTAATCTGGAATCTAACGAACACTTTGCGTCGGCAGTTGGAGGCAGACACTATCGAAGTGAATAGCAACTGTGAACAAGTGGAAAGGATTGCGCAGAACAGAGTTATCTAGAGAATGCTGGTTGGCAGCCTGTGCTCCTCTACAAAGGGGCAACAAACGTAATTAAGTACAATGTGATCATATTTTACTAGTGAGTTACAACTTAATAAAACTGCCCTAAAATACAGTTCAGAATTCCCAATGGAGTTTCATTTTAAGTGTATTCGATACATGTCAGCCTACCGTCACGACGCTTTTTGCGAACGGCAGAATTAGCGATTCTCAGGATGTTTGAATTTGCACAATAGTAGATTGCTTATATAGATTTGATTTCGGAAAATTCTTTCTAGTATGGTTGGTAAATTTTCAACGTAGTGAAAATTTTAGTAAGTGACAGATTCATTAGAATAATTATTGAATTCGCTCGAAGTCTATTGGAGTCAGAAAACTGTCTTGCTTACTCAGAAATATCTGTATATAAGTATATATAAAATATATATGTGGTTGTACAATAAATCGTGGTTAGTTGTATTTAAGCTTACATTACAGGGGATAAGACAAGTACAATAGACAATCTCAAACCAGTAAAACGTAAAACTGATGTGTTCAAAATGGTTGTCCATGTTAAATACGTTTCAACTAATAAGAGCATAACCAGTTTAATTTAACCAATGAGAAACAAGAAAAGGGAATGAACCCTTCTTTTTAACAAGTAATATAATCATGAAACGAGAATTTCACAGTATGGATGTTTAGTTTTCAAATGAATAGACTTAATCTTGAAAGTGTTTTATAGATTTGACAAAAGCACCCCAAACATCAGTGATCTGTGATTGAAAAAGTTTATTAGAAAACTTTTACCATAAAGCTTTCGTATCCTTTTTTGTTTTGTTCTAATATCCTTGAGTAATGAATTCATTTGGCAAGTTGTTTAGAAATTATCAGTTACTAAAAGATAGAAATGAGTTCACTGGTTCAGCTCTGATATCAGGAATTAACCTTATAAAAGTCACTACTGGTCTTTGTGTTAGGAACCTAATTGTTCATTTGTTTACTGCATTCTTTATTTATTTAAGCTCATAAATCCTGGTACAATCGGAAACCCGAAATGCTGCATACAAATGAAGTGATAGTATTGTAAATAAATAAAGAATATAAAGATGGTACTATCAAAGAATAAATGAATTACAATTATATTTGATAAAAGTCCTGTTAAAAGCACAACTAAGAAAAAGTTCACTTAATTAAGCAATCCTCTTACAGTAATGACGAATGAAATCGAAGGTACATTTTCCAATTAGAAACATCAGAACATGAAATTCTTGTATAAGTTTACTTAATCAGATTGCTATTGATTCTATAACCATAGGCTTTTATTCTGAGTTGTATTTGATAACGTCTTAAATCAGTGAGTTTCATAATCGTTAGAACTGCGTATCACTGTATTTTCTACGAATTTCAGAACGTTCTTTGTGGATAATTACTGTTCGCTTTTATAGCAGATGAAAGTAAGAACTTTTATAAGATTCTCCTTACCATTTCGCTCTTTTGGTTTGTCTTCCCAGTTTTATAAAATATTTAGTTATTGGTTGATAAGTAGCGTAATCTATTCGTAAATTAGTCACGAACTGTTAACACCGTTCTATGGTACAGATTTATGCTCAAGTCTTTGTTATTTGTTATCTAATAAATCAATGCTTATTTCGCATTTTGGTATACAAAAGGTCATATAACTGTAGCATCATGGACATCAGACAATAACCATATCTCGGAGTCTGAACACGAGTTGCCATTCTTGAAAACAACATCGTTGTTTATTGCCTTTGCTTTCAAATGTTTGCACTTGCAGGCTGCTGCTGTATTTTGCGGAGCACAAATCGGATTCCTTACTGGGGCAATTACTGGCTTGTTAGATGATGCTGAGGCTCTAAAACCTACAGTACTTCCGGCGGTTCCACGTGTCTTGTCGCGTATATATGAAAGATACCAGAATGCACTTGGTAATTCATTTTTAAAGAGGTATCTATATGAATATACTCTTAAAAGAAATCTGAAGATTTTAAACAGGTGAGTAAAGGATTTGTTTTTTATTATACTAAATGATGACCTAATTATTTTGTTCTGGATAATGTTTTTTATGTCAAATAATCTTATTTTACTACCTAATAAACTTTAATCCGTGACTGGAGAATAGTTTGATATTTATCGTTTCATTATTTATTTTCTAATCGTGTACAACACTGAAGATAAACTCATCGAAAAGGCTTATTTCGTCACTGGAACAATTTCCTTTTTTTGTTGTTTAAAATGAACGTCTTTAATTTATTCTTAAATACTTTTTTTTCATTTTCAAATACCTTTCTATTTCGAATGTTGTTATGTAAGTAGCGTTTAAATAGTCTTTAATTATCGAGACTACGGGCTGGCCTATTCTAAGCAATCATTGAAAACCTGAAAGCTTTTGACGATTGTTTCGTCCTTGTATCGGAATCCTTAGTAGTGCCCATCTACGATCCCATCACCATTGATCGAGCTATGGACGTTCGAATTGTTTCGATGAGCAGTTAATCTTTGAACTGATGAGTTGCCATCCAGTGACATGCATATCAAAACTCAAGCGATTCGTGATATTACGCGACTATATTTAATCGTCTGACGGGTAACAACTACCTCACATCTAGCGAGGTTGAGCCCCATTTGTCATGAATTTTCATTAGAACCCCCGGGAATCATCTCTCTAATTCGGTTACTCTTAAGCGCCTTGGTTGTTATCAGTATATGGATGTGTAGAGGCTATTCTGATTTAATAAATTTTATGTTAGTATTCATAAGAGTATCGAGCTACATAATAGTAGTTTTAATTAGTTTATTGAATTGTGTTGAAAAACATTGTATTTTCAACCCTGAAAATTAAACCAGGCATTTTGATTAAAACGATGTAGGTTTTAGCTTTTTACAAACACGGAAGCAGTAAAATGAAATTATTCTGAGTATGCTGCCATTTTTATGTGTTTAATAGAATCCTGCTCTTAGCCCTCATATGTTAAACTTTTATGCTTAACCTGACTGGAAATGCAATGAAATAAAGCTGAGTGTTAAAGATTTCTAAAAAATAAAGTTTATACATCTTGTTTCACTTTGATAACACATAAACTTAATAAAAACTCATGAAATTTCATATTGAGATTGAAGGGGACAAGAAGTGAAATTCCTGTTTTACAAGTTTGCTTAATCGGTTAATTTTGATTACGTCAATTTTAATAGCATAGGCCTTTGTAAGATTAAGATATTTTAATTCTTTTGTCTTCTCCTTTTTAGTGGGAAAATTAATCGTGATGATATTCTTGATACACTTTTTTTCAAGAAGCTCCGTCAAGCTCTTGGTGGGAGAGTATGTATGATAGTTACAGGAGGTGCACCAATTTCACCGGAGCTGTTCAACTTCTTTCGAGCTGCTTTCAAGGGTCTTGTAAGTCATCTCTGTTCGTCTTACATTATAAAGTTTTTTGGACGGGTTTTCTTTATTGAAATACGAAAACGTTCTCACTGGACTTTTTTTCCAACGGCAAATTGCCTATACACCAAACATTCTCTAGATTCTTTGAAACTACTTTAGTTTAAGGACGTCTATCTATCTATCTATCTATATATGTTCTTGATTATGCTGTAAATATCTCCTTAATCAGCGATTTCTAAGTGAGATAGTATTGTCATGAACTAGAACTCAAGTGGGGAAGACCGATTTGTTGTTGAATATAAAATTACAGTATATCTTCATAAAATACGAAAACCATACATCAATTACTTCATTTGCACATCTTCCATCAATTGTCCCTTACATACTTCGTCGTACCTTCATTTTTGTTGTTACTACGATTACACTCTGCTTACATTCCTGTTCTCTTTAGTTCGATCTTCTCAACCACCTGCTACCATACATCCCAATTCTGATGGGTATTGCATACTACTTATCTCGACGGACATACACCACAGTATTATTAGGGATTTACTTCGGTATTGTGTTGCAGGAAGTCTAGGTCAATAAATCCAACCGAATTGTAAGTAAAAACAAATACATGCTTATTGTATTTGGTGATGATAGCGATAAATAAATAATCTTGAACTTAAAGCTTCAAGTTCTAAACCATTATTGAGTAGTTATCTGTTTACTCCCGCAATATCCCAAAGTAGAATAAAAAAAGTCCTTCAAGCTATATCAGTCGATGTTGAAAATAATCTATCAATTAACAATTTCTCTACACATTCCATATAGTTGATTTGCTCATGAAAGATGTGTCGATTTTCTTATAGAAGCGTCTAAAACATTTTTTGGTATTTTTATCAGGGTATGGTGTACTTTTTTCTTAGACATTTTTTCTATATTACTTTATCAGTCAATATTATTAGGAAATATTCACACTTAATGACTAGAGAAAAAACAACCACATCGTTTGCAGAAAACCATGTATCTAGATGTTTAACTGTCATTTATTGAATAACATATAAAACCACTTCATTCACTTAATATATGGTGTTATTTTTACCTTTCTTAGAAAATGAATTTGGAGACTGGTACCTAGCTATTTATTTGAGTTTACTAAGTTCTACCCTGCTCTGCTTAAACTGATTGTTATAGGTATTGCTTGAAACCACTTCAGTGAATGATTTAAGCAATTTTATTGTTAAGTTATATGTTATTGTTCGTTGTGTCAAGGCAGTGCAAATCAAGTTTTCAGTTGTACTTCCGATTTGAGAGTGTGAAAACGTTACTTACAAAAATACCATAACCTCGTGATCTTTTTTTATTTAATTAGCTTTTTATTATAAGGTCAGTAAATTGAGTAAACTTGTTCAGATACATATATGTATCCAGATGAACTAGATTTATTAACAAACGTTTTTATCAGTGTCTACTGAACACACAGACATTTGAAATAATGAATGAGTCTGATTCTTCACATAAGCTTTAATCTTTATCGAGAAAAGTCCTGTTTTAAATCACCGGTCTCTACTCTAAAGGAGTCATGTGCTGTAATACATTAATTCAATAATTCATTTTTATACTGTTTGCTTAAATCTTCCCATTGATGTTTAGGACTGCATTTGATCAGTCTCTCATTGACATATGTACATCCTGTGCGGATCGACTCGATATTGCCTTAAGTCAGAAGCATTGCTAGCCACCATCCATCTTTGCTTGAATTGATTCAATAGTTCCCATTTCCAGAATAACGTTTATGAGTGTATTAGTCATTCAGTGAACATGAACACCAGTGGGGAACAAACGAATGTATTTAACACAAAATTACAGGACTTGTTAATAAAATCTAACAATCATAAAGTAAATGCCTAATTTGCAAAATGTCCATTGATTGTCTCAAAAGTGACTCAGACTTCATTGTTCTTGCATTTTCATATAAATCCCATTCTATTTCCGTTTTTTACTGTTCGATCCTCTTGTCCCTCTGCTGCCAGACCTTCTGTTCACGACTAACATCATATACTACTTATGTCAATATAAGTAGCACACACCACAGTCATCCTGATAAGCGAATAAGCTTCAAGATTACCTGAAGAAGACCGTTTCTATTTAGCCTGTAACCAACACATTCTCCGTAGTCATAAATACTACGACTCTGTTTATAGCTACCCACACTGTGTATTAGATGATCGTCTTCCCACTTTATCAATCCCCTGGCTTAATGAAGCATAATTGGTTGTTGATGAGATCCAAGTCAAGTGCTTTGTCTTTGACCATATCTCTTTTGTAACAGTGAGACCGAAAAAGCCGAACTAACTCCTACTATTCTTTGGAATGGGGGTACATTGAAATCCAACTTTAAATGATCAAACAGAGATCCTATTCACAAATACGGATATCTGTGATAAAGTGCATATTGATAGAGTTTAAGAAGTTACAGACAAGTCTGTCTAATGTTTCATCCCCATTAAAAGTTAAGTATTGAGATCGATAAGCTTTAACTGCTCACATGAGTTCGCAGTGCATGATGACTTTTTAAAAGCAACAATTTAGTGTTTCAAATCCACACACAAAACGCGCTTTATAACGGAGATAGGCTACGAGAGAAATATTGATACATTAAAATAATGGGATTGAAAGAACACTTAGTGAAATTGTTATGCATCTGTAGTAAATGTAGGGTTAAACTAGCTCCCTGATATTCGAAGTTTTTTATCTTAAGTTATGTCATAATTTGTTTAAAACTTGGCTTGAAATCTAAATGTTCAGAATCACGAGCTTTGAACTCTGTCTATTCATTGATCGAGTTCCGCCTCCACACATTTACTTTTGCTTCCTTGTTTTTGTCAGAAACACTCTCGCCTTAGAAAATGAAGTCTGGACAGTTTTTTGACAGGTGCACTTCATTTAGAATTATTTGGAAATAAGTTACATAAACATTTATCCGTTGTTGAATGTATGTCATTTTAAATTTCTAAACATTTTTAGTCTTTCTGTAAATTGTACCGGTTCTCAAGTAATTGTGCTACCTTTATTTAGATTGTCGCAGGTTACGGTTCAACTGAAGTTTCCGGTGTAACTAGCGTAACTGTCTTAGGGGAATCTCATGAAGGTACTGTTGGTGCAATCACTTCTAGGATCGAAGTCAAACTTGCTGATGTCGTAGATATGGATATTGTAGCTCTCAGAGATAACAGAGGCGAGGTATGTATATCACAAAATACTTTATATTTTGCTGTATTGTCACAACATAACGTAAATTTGTATGCATAGGTCTATTAATGTTGAATTCGTTACTTCTAGCTTATTGGCAAAAGAGTTTGTCATATACCTTCCTCTTCTGAAAATAACATGTACGGAAATATTCTGATGCAGTTAATAGAACTGGTTTTCTTTTCAATTGTTTTTATATTTGAAAGGTGAGAATTTTCTGACATTTGTCAAAAATTGGACTTTTTAAAACTCTGACTTACACAGAGTAATACCTGAATAATTTACTTCCCATCGACCTTTAAACTGAATGGATGATATTTCTAAAATTTTGTTAGAAATAAATCTTTTTCGTTTTAGAGTTAAAGCTACCATGCATATTTTGTCGACCGTTGAATATCGGCATCTTTATTCTGATCCAAAATACTGTTTTGATATTCAGGTTTTCTAACATGTTTTCCTTATTTATCAATTAATTGATAATTTACTCAAATACCGTTGTCCTCACAGTATGTGTTAGAACCATTCCATCATTAGGATTTAGAAGTAACAATAAGTGTTTTCTAAGAAAAATAAATGGAATATTCATACAGAGTTAGACTGTTATACTCACTAATGTGCTTTTTACTCTATGCATTTCCAGGAGACAATATAGTCCGATAAAATAAAAATATTGAAATGAAAAGAAACTTTCGTTGAATAGAATCCTTTCAAAAATAACTGGTTTTGGTGTGTATTAGATTGAGTTTTGAAATTTATACACCTTTCACGGTAGTCACATTTTACTTTAAACTGTTTCAAAAAAGTCACAGTGGGAAATTGTTCGCATCATATTTATAATTGTTTACTTCTCTCATCAGTATACTATTTCTGTATTAGATATGTATTAAAGGGAAACGGTGTACCAAAGGTTATTTCCAGGACCCTGAAAGTACAGCCCAAATTATTGATGCTGATGGTTGGTTACATACTGGTGACATTGGAGAATGGACTAGTGTAAGTTTTGACGAAATGTATATTTGTAAGAGTAGTTTTTACAAGATATCTATCCACATGACTTTCGAACCAATTTTTCTTTAATCAGATCGATATATGAACGTATGTACCATATGGATTGATTAATTATGGCCGAAATGTTAGTATCATACACATAATGCTAACTAAATATTGTAAATTAGTTGATATAGCTATGATATTCGATTCCCTGAGGTTGTTCGAATAATTATTGCTCATATTCAGACATGCTGGTGCAGAGATGAGTGCAGCCAGAGCATGATGTTCGTCTATGAAATATCGTCTGCAGAAGAACTTTCTGCAATATTTCTAGTAGTAGGAGTCCATAAGGCTAAAAATATGTGCCTACTTACAATAAATTAACGCTAAAGAGTAAGTAAGCGTAAAATAAAATGAGTAAAGGTCAGTTAGTTAAAAACAAACTTTTCAGTTTGTAGTTGTAGAGATTGTTGAATTTCATCTAAATCATGAACCGATTAATGTTAGACCAGCATCCGAAGTCTTGAAACACTGGACAGCCGTTTCGTCCTAGTATGGGACTCCTCATAAGTGCGCACTCATGATCCCGCACGCAACAGTTCAGCCAAGCGCCTTTGGCCTCGTGAGCGAACGTTTAAACTCTAGACCACTGAGCCAACATCCAACGGTGTTAGTGTCTAACTTCAACCAATCCACGATGTCGCGCGACCATCTTCGCTGTGTAACTACCTCATACCCGACACGGTTGTGCATGGTTGAAGTTAGACACTAACACCGTTGGATGTTGGCTCAGTGGTCTAGATTTCAAACGTTCGCTCATGAGGCCAAAGGCGCTTGGCTGAACTGTTGCGTGCGGGATCATGAGTGCGCACTTATGAGGAGTCCCATACTAGGACGAAACGGCTGTCCTGTGCTTACATGCTTCCGATGGTGGTCTACCATTGATCGGTTCATGATTTTGATGAGGAAAATTTATCGAACCAGAAGAGAGTTTTAACGATGTTTCCTTCTCAGGCAAATAAATCATGTTTCTAGTGTTTAATAATAACAACTTCGGCAAAATTCAGAGGACTAGGTCTTGGCTGTTTGTTAACTTAATGTCCTGCACCCAAGGCATGACTAGAAATCGTACCATTTGAAGTCCTGATTTCTGTTGGCCAAAAAATGAACAACACAATAGCAAAGACAATATCCATAACTACTCCATAACGTAACTAAGTGCGACCAAAACAGCGTGTATGTGGAGCGTCCCACTTGTAGGAGACTTAAACAATACTCTACCAATGATATGCTTCACGACCGCAACACAAAAGACTGATCTTTTGCAAAAGATTTTTCACTCTCTTTAGCAACCGAAAAGGTGGTGTAACTGATATCAATAGTTTATCCATGATCCTAAGAAGCCAAGAGTTACGTTAGGTCAGTATTTGTAGGGATATGGTGACTATGTGTATGTTAGAAAAACTGCTCTACTAGTCTCAGATTACAAAATAACATAAAGTTTAGATACGAATCTATTGCAGTCCTTGATGTAAACAACAAGGAAGTTTAAACCTCTAGATTTAACTTCATACCTGTTTAACCCGTTTGTATATATCTGGACTCAGTTTTTACTAATTAATGCGTAATGGCTATCGAATTTGAGTTTCAGTCCAAATACCATGTTAAGGAGTCCTAAGTTCCACTGCTGATCACAATCCAGACATTTGAGATTTTATTGTTTTTCTCTTGAACACAATTATTTACCTTTTGAGTGAATCAGACCTGCATTAGCCGTGTTATCTGGATCGTATCACAAGAGGCTTTTTATTTTTATTACTTTTATATAGTTTTTGTTGTAGGTGACAATTTAACTATGAGGAAACAATTTTCGAAGCTATCGTTCTACGATTTTCCTTATATCTTTTGATTGGATGTTTAATAAGTATTTTGGTTTTATTATTTTCGTATTACCCTAGTTTCAAGCTTTTATTTGAACCGTAAATGTTTGCTATACCATTTTCTACTCATAAACTAGAACCGATTATATGTGCACCCAGTACTCCGTTTTCCTCATCATTAATGTAGTTGTTCCATGTTAATACTTAGCTGGTGCACTGCGTGGTCTGGTCTTGTATGTATATAAATAAATGTCTGAAATATGGTAGCGATCATGGACAGGTGATCATTGGTCTTGTGTTCTTCCTCTTCATTCGGGGCTAGTTAGTGTTGAGCCGACCGTCAAGCATAGAGTACCAGTCTTCCTGCTCTTTCCTATGTATTGGTTGATTATGGTCTTCTACGTGTATTGGCGGGTGATAAGACATAGCAGTTCCCGTTTTATTTCTTCTTAGTGTTGTTACCTCTTTTTTAGTTGTCTGTGTTCTACTTAGAACTACATGACTCACCCACCCATAAACACTTAAATACATAAATTATGAGTTCTTTGTTATGCATAGTTTTGATTGATGATATCCAGGTGGCCGAAGTTGTATGTCATTATCTCAGACAACCGCAATCAACTTAACCCATTATGTATTAAGTTTACTCTAGAATAAATTAGTGCTTTTTAGGACCAAGTATCTTTTTTTTCAACAGTAAAGTATTATGACCTCAGCGTTTTGCTCTTTTCTTTAACACTTCAAAGGAAGGTGCTTTGAAAATTGTTGATCGTGTAAAAAGTATGTTCAAGTTGGCACAGGGCGAATATGTAGCTCCAGAAAAAATAGAAGTGATTTATCAGACCTGTCAACTTATAGACCAAGTATTTGTTGATGGGAAACCGGAACAAAATTTTCCTGTCGCCGTTGTCACTCCGAATTTCGTAAACTTACGTTCATGTATTAATTCTTACCTAAAATCTGGTTGTAATGTAGATGATGGGAAAATATTCGATCTGAAAACATCAGATATTTCTCGATTATCTGACACCGATATTTGCAAAAACATAGAAATTCGACGATTTGTTTTGAAAAAAATGAATGAAGTCGCAACAGAAAAGGGATTAAAGAGATTTGAAATGGTAAGTGTTGAAGTTATCTGGTAATTTCCACCTTATCACTGAAAGGACTTGCCTACATTTTATTTAGCTTCTAATTCTCGTGTTTACATATCTAAACTTTTCAATGTAGATTATGTTTTGTTAATTGTAGCTTAGATCATTTACTAAAAGTCGGTAATGTAAGATATGTGGTTTCTCATTTTGATTGGAACAAAAGCCACTACCCTGATAATGTCGATTCGGTATACTGTTTCGATACACAAACTAATTTTTTGGGAAAATCTCAACATTACGACCTAACATTTCTGAATAAAAGTTTGTTAATATAATCAGTTGAAAGAGCTTTATACGAAACGTCAAATCTTATGTTCTGATGAGAAGAGGATATTCAACTGATAGGTATTGTTTTAATCGTGAAAAGTGTATGTCCTGAAATAGTATCTATATTGAGTTGAGGAATTCAAGGTTTGGTATGTTTATGGTAGGCTCCAACTAATCATGTAGGTACTTCGTTACGCCTGTTACTCCCGATGGAGCATAGGCCGCCGACAACGTTCTCTAACCCACTCTGTCCTATGCCTTCTTTTCTAGTCCTATCCAACTTTTGTTCATTCTTTTCATATGTCTCCGTTTCTCGGCGTAATGTATACTGTAGTTTTCCTCTCCTCCTTTGGACTCGAGGATTCTAAGTGAGGGCTTGCCTCGTGACGCAGTTGGGCATATAGGTACTGAATAATCATGTCAAACCGAAGCTTCATAAAGCTTGTCCATGGTGATCTAGTTTCAATTGACTCATGATCTCAACCATTAAAATTACTATAATATCCACAAAACCCCTTCTCTGACAATAAATTATTGTTGATAGAATGTGGGAAACTTCCCCACCATCTTATACAATAAATCTACAGGCGAATATAAATGGGGGAAAAGTTAGTGAGAATTGATCGTGGTTATCTACAAAAAAGCCCTTCAAAATTAACTGTTGTGAACGTCAGGGTGACAGTATTAAAGTCATAAACTTGTGAATGTAGTTGGAAAGCAATTTTATAATCTGAATGACGACGCCTCCTTTATCTACCTATAAATTGATATTTTTAAATCGGGTAAATATAGTACATTCGTGGATGTTCTGACATTCGGGTTAGGGTGAAATTTTCATAAATGAGGTGTCTTCTACATGTTGATAAATTCAGTTATGTTGGAGTAAAGATGACGCTTTTTTTGCTGTAATTAATAAAACTTTTTTAACTCATATGCGATCCAAGTTGATGGTTTAAAATTTTTCCAGGTACAATCTATCTACCTAAATGATAATCCATTTACTGTCGAAAATGGATTGTTAACTCCAACCATGAAAATATCACGTCAAAATGCCCGTCGACACTTTCAATCTATCGTTGAATCACTATACTCGGAAAGAGATGTTCTGAAGGTCAATGCATAAGTAACATTTGTAATTAATAGCTCAATTCATCCCACTGCCATTGTTTCCTATCTTAAGTCAAAAAATCACATCACATACGGCAATCATCCTTTTGTTCGTACATAAACAAATACAAGGGGAGCACCCCATCGTTATTTCTTTTTTCTACTACAATTATATTGTTTATTGACTTTTTTAATTCATGCAAAACCATCCATATTATATATGTATTTCTATTTTATTCAGTGTATCCTGGGTGACAATTTACCGTAAGACTCACTCCTACTTATTTATTTAAAATAATTTGCATTTCTTCATTTGAAACAGTAAATTACAAAAACCCAACCACACAAGATAGATAGTGGGAATATAACGAATATTGTAAAGCGACTTAAAAGGAAAATTCATTAAAAAAATATTTTAGTTACAAATATGTTGCCATATTTACGGGTAATAATTCATGATGAATAGCCAAAAAGTTAATTCAATAGTCATACACATTGTTTTACACCTCAAAATGTGTCCATAGTTCATTGCTTGATGTCATTATCATTATTGTATTCAAGGTGCGCTTAGCTGCACCTCAACTGTTGAAAGTTCGTAGCAAACGAGTTGGCAAGCTATCACTATTCCAGTTGATTTAACAGGCAAACCTCTTTAACTCATCCGAAAAACCGACCCTTACATCAGGAAAAACTGCTACGTCGGCAAAGATTAAACTTTACATTTAGCAACTTAGTTTGGAATTCATTAGTCGAGGTTTCTGCTAGAGATATACTACTGTTTATCTCGCGTATTGATCATCTACTTTATGATCTTACCAAGTGAAACTTTGCAGATGAGCTTATCGTGTCAGTGCTTGAATGTATATTATAGCATCGTGTTAACTCTATAAAACATGAACCTCCTATTTAGTTTTGTATGTAATACTTGGACTAACTACGATTATGGAACGTTGGTTATAAAAGCCAGATAGGAAGTATGTTGGCAGGATTTTTTCGGCATGGAGGAAAGCACGCTTGCATATTGAATTTTAGCAAGCATGGTTCAGCATTTATAATCAGACAGAAAAATAAGCTTAAGGCAGATAATGAGTAGAGTGATGAACAAACATATGCACGTTTGAGAACTGATCAAGGTTAAAACTTAATAGTCGACAGCCAAACATGTGTATACAATGGCTTATGACGATCAGATTAATTTGTCTTTCCAAAAGTTAGAATAAGTTCATATTTTTTACAAAACAGCATTACTAGTATATGTCCGTATTAACAGGAGGAGGGTTAGATGTTTAAATCAAGAGCTGGCAGTCGTATCACTTCTAGTCAATCATGACACACCTTTAACGAACCTGACTTGTTAATTACTCAAATTACTACGATTATTGGGACTTTCCTCGAATCTCCTGAAACTAGCACCGACACCTATTTTCCAGTATTTTTAACAAACTGAATACAGTGTAAAGATCGGATTTTTTACAAGACCTTCATTGTAACTCAAGAAGTAGATGCAACATAACTGAAAGCACTAACGTTTTCCATTATCATGCTTATACTACCAGCCTCCATCATTCCCGTTTAACAAAAATTGAGTTCTCTTTACTCCAGTGCATTTTTTCAGGGCTGTGATAAATGACCAATTTACACTTATGGTAGCGTCAGTCGGAAGAATTAGGAATGTACATTTAATAAAACTGCACGACAATAAGTATCGGACAGAGTTACTATAATAGAAATTTATTAATTCGAGAAACGATGTATATGTACATCAAACTCGAAATAGTAACTCTCTGCATCTACATGTTTTGTATGGAGATATCACTTTATTTAACCTTAAACTGTATAATTTCATATTGCATCTGCATGGTCGAGCTAGATACATTGCGAATTTGTTACTTACCTCTGACAGGTAAACTACGGATTTTTTTTAACAAGCGATTAAGAAGTCAACCGTTAGTACTTTCTTATGTACGACTTAGTAACAAGTAATTAAGTTACAGCTAAATGTAATAAATTTTTGAGATAGAGCAAGTGCATTCGCCATAAAGAAAATTCAAAAAACAAATGAATAGAAGTCATGCAGTAATATGTAGTCGGTTATAATGTTCGACTATTTATTTTCTTATAAAATACAGTACATGTACAAAGTTATAGTGCATAATTCAGCATTACGTCTTGTTTGGCTAGTTCTAGCAACATAGGATCATCAAAGAATTTGTTGATACTAACATCTTCATTCAAACCCTAAAAGGTAAAAGATATTTTTTAGCACAATTAAGGTATAAATTGAGGTGAGATGTTAACGATTGTATGGATTGTTCTTGGTGTGCATCAGTGAAGATTAATAGTAAATGACAAAATATCCCCGAAAAGGTAAAAAATTATTGCCCTAATAAACCGACCGTCGCTGCTACACTGATGTGGTCGGGTTTGCTTATTGTGATGAACCAATCGAGCTATACTAACTGGAACAATTGTTCCGCAAGGTCCTACCATGCCAGAAAAGCACTAAGTCTAAAGACAGCAAACCCAAGATCCAAGGGTGAAGTCTTACAACTGACTGTACAGAGGTGTGACGGCAGTAATGTGTTCCCTTCAGAAAACCAGCATAACAGCGATGCTTCCCTCCCACAAGGAGGGATGCGGTCAGAAAAGGTCAACCATAAAAATGCACACCTCACCTAAACTCACGGAAATACACCTCTCTAATAGCACCCAAAATCACTATATTCATAATCAGTTTCTCTCATCAATTCTTATTATTCCTGCCTATCCCGACTATCAACTCTAAGCTCCCTCCTAATGTGTCACTATGTTTAACGATTCTAGTACACAAGAAACTACCAGGTCAACTGAAACCCGGTTCCACACTACATAACGGAGCTTTTAAAGGACGTACTCTATGTCAAGTTGGTCAGCAGGCCACTTTGGCAAAGAAACTAGAATCTCGTACGATTGGTGTATAATGTCAATCCGAAATATGCATTCAGAATCAGAGAAAAGTCAATCACTTGACCTCACCTAGCCAAAACTGGGACCCGAAGAGATACAATGTAATAGACTTACAGACTATAAATGAGGTTGAGAAAGCTACAGCTAAACTGAAACGAGGAAGAGAAGACAGTCTAGATAGATTGAATCAAAACTTTTTAAGAACTGTGGTATAGTTTAAGCGATTATGTTGACTTATATTCCAGCTAAAATCTGGGAGTTGGACATAATCCCATCTGACTGGTCGTAATCGCTGATCGTCACAATATATAAAAAAGGACCAAAATCATCCTGTGATAATTATAGAGGGGTTAGTTTAAATAATATAGTGTCTGAGATACTAGCCTCAATGATTATCGGACGCCTAACAAAGACCTGCGAACACGAGGAAATCAGGCTGCTTCCAAACTTGATCGTGGCTGCATCGACCACATCTTCACCCTTCGTCAGGTTCTAGAGCACAAGCATGTTCATTGGCGTCCGAAAACGATAGTTTTTCTTGACTTAAAAGCAGCATTTGACTCGGTAGACCGAGAGATTCTGTGGCAGTGTCTGTCATTGAAAGGTGTACCTCAGAAGTACATAAACCTTGTGAAGGCTCTTTACTTGAACAGTACTAATATAGTTGGAGCTTACGGCGAACTGTCGTCTGATTTCGCAACCCCAAGTGGTGTTCGGCAAGACTGTCTCCTATTTCCATTTTTGTTCAACTTCATAGACCTACTGCTGGGAATAACGTTCTCTTCGTCTGAATTTTCAGGCATTGATCTCCCTCCAGGAGGTCCACTTATCGACTTAGAATGCGCAGATGACATAGTCCTGTTTGATGAAGATGCTGATAAAATGCAGTGTATTGGTAGCATTGAGCAACAGTGCTATCATGTCTGAGATGCGTTCCTCCACCTCTAAATGCAATTTGTTGCTTCAGGACTGGCCTGCGTCAACACCTGAACTAAGGATAGAGAGTGAAGTAGTCGAACGCATCGACAACTTCGTTGATCTTGGAAGTCTAACCAACCCCAATGGGTTGGTGTCTGAATAAATATCAGCACAGATTCAAAAACCTCATTTGGCTTTTGCCAACTTACGTCATCTATGGCTTAGGAGATATATCCGTCTATCAATTAAGGCACAAGTATACTGCTCAGCAGTTCGTTCTGTTTTACTTTATGGCTGTGAAACGTGCTAATTAAGAGTAGAAGATACCTGTAAGTTACTAACATTTGATCACAGATATCTTAGGAATATTGCCAGCATCTGCTGGGATCACCGGGTAAGTAGTAGTGGGGTTAGACACAGGGTATTAGGGAATGATGGTAAATCGATTGATGAGGTTGTAAATCTTCACCGACTGAGATGGTTGGGCTACGTATTACGCATGTCCGACCACCGATTATTACAGCGCGCAATGCTGACTGGTGTTGGAGACAGATAGGTTAGGAGCGATCAAACCAAAACGTGGCATCGGCCCATAAAGTCATTAACTTCTGGTCTGAGCCATGTTGGTAGATGCGGACTACTTAGTTGGGGTCCGCGCAACTATCGTAACCAATGGTTGGAGACTGGATAACATGGCTCAGAATCGATCACAATGGCGTAGGTGTATATACTCTTTGTCTGCCCTTAAACAGTGAGATTAAAATTATCTCACTTTCCATGAAATAATTTCTCCTGTATCATATCCTTATACGGAATCTTTCTTTACTACTACTGAAGTAACTGGTTCTATGAATTCGGTCTTCATCTTGTTGTACTGATGAGATATGGCAACTTGGGCCGATGCATATATGTGTCTGGTCCTACTCTGTAGCTGACTGATTGTTTCAATAAAGATTTGTAGTAGACAACAAAGCAAGAGGCTGTTAAATAAAATGAAAACTTACAAACAATCACTAGCAGTACTTATAGATTCAGCCTGTATTTGCATGTTCTAACGTTTGTTTGCTCGTTACACTTTAGTCTTATAGTAATACAGTAATCATAAATCTAATGATCAACTCTTTAATATATAGATAGCCTTATCAAAAATAATTGACGATACTACAAGAAACATTTTTACAGTGTTTGTGTAACACATTTCTTGAGAATATGATGAAAACTCAAGAAGATATGTTTGCTTGACTCATTTTGATTTTTTTATTTTCGTTTACTTAAGATTAAGTTTACTTTTCAAACATCCAAGACCACACTTCAATAATTTTACTAACCTTTCTTCTACGAGTTTTAACCATAAACTCTCGAGCCAAATGA